TCATTCGAAAGGAGAAAATTGTATCGTGATCTCGATTGGTAAATAAGACGGGACTTTTTTTTATCAGGTGATTTAGCTATTTCGAATCCGACGAAAAAAAAAAACATTAAACAGCTGGAAGATAAAGTTTTTGTTTGCTTTCATCTCGAACGGCTACTTTCTGAAAAACCTTTATCTGAGACAATTGCGTAATAGGGCTTTTTTCCCTACTCTCCACTTTTCTACTGTTCGACGATAATACGAAAGAATCCTTCAAAGTAAACAGTTGGCGTTCTACAAATTCTTATCTCAATCTTCATTGATAAATTAGTGAATTTAAAATTTAAAAGGAACATCGAGTGTCGTGGTTGCGCAAACGCCAGCCGAAACGTGCGGTAATGTACAGGGCGTTCGATGAATTTCCCATTACAAAATTCCAGTTTCGCGATAGAAATCGAAGCTGTACGTTGTATTTGGTAGTTGTTTTGGAAATTTGGGTAAATATTTATCTCTCTAAAAATATATATTTCGACTGTTTTTATTTCCAAAACGAGAACTATCCTTGTTAACGCGAATAACAGATAATTTTTTATATCATCCTTATCACTTTTTTTATTTAACCAAGCGATAAAAATTTGCTGATTTTAACTTGTTCTACTTGTACTTTTTAGTATATCCTTGACTTGACAGAGTCTGAGTATATGCCAGAAAGTATCTAATAGCTAGAAAATTACAGTAAACCACTAGAAAGCTCTATAATTCATACTGTTTTAATAAATTTTCATGAAAATTTAAGTCTTATTGATATTTGTTGAATTTTCAGATCTGCCACACTCTAACCAGGATTCTAGCTGGATTCGAGGAAGAGGCGACGAGAACTTGATGGCTGATGATGACTTTTTAAGACGAAACTGGTTTTCACAGTGATTTGACAGATGTATTTGATTCTGAGATCATTGTGAAAGCTGATTTTGTTAACCCGTCTTCAAACACCCTCAACTCTAGCAAGTTATATTCTACATAAAATTAGGTTTCGTTCTCGGAGAAAAAGAACAAAGTAGACCAGTTGAAAACTTGTTTTAATCATTATATTGTTTATTATATTTTTAATAAATGTGTGTATTTAAAAGTAGGTTTGTTTGTCTTTTATTTCTAATAAAATCTTTAATAAAAAAGTTAATACAAAGAATGATTATCCTAGAAATTTATGGGAAATGGTATTTAAAATTGATTCTGTAGGAATCAGGAAATAACAATAGAGTTAATGAAGTCAAGTCGAAACTTAAGGGATAAAAAGGATCAGAAAGATATTAGATTTATAAAATTTCCTATTTTCCCATACAATCAATCATTTATTTCGTTTATATAAAAAACATGTTAAAGTAATTTTTTTAAGATAAAAATATAGAAAATAGATCAGAATTTAAAAGCAAAGCGAAAGAGTTTGGAAGAGTAAACGAGAAAAAAAGGTTTTCTCACAGAAGAACATTAACATATTCGTTCAAGACTAAACAAATTTTAAAAATTCTATAATATTCCTTCGAATAAATTATTCTTTATTTTTACTACAATCCGCAATAACTAGATAGTTTAAAAGATGAGATTTCTCACTAATAATTATATCATTTATTTGCCATAAACAAAACTAAGTGTATAAGTCAGGATTTAATAAATCTTTAAAAGAAAACTAATATACTCATTTAACTGATTGAAAATGGAGGAATTTATTTACTGACTGAAAATGTCACCTTTTCAATAAAACCAGCCTCTCACGACCGATGCCTGAAAAGTGCCTTAAAGATTAATAGAATCCTGCAGACGATCAATATACACAGTTATCTTTAAGAAAAAGTTGTTAAAGAACACTATATCTGATACGTTTGGGATTCTTAAGCTTCACAACAGATGCCACTCTTTAATTATTTATTTCTTCGATTAACTTTCAAACGATAACTTTTCCTAATTATTTTAAACCTTTTGATCACCCCAAAGTAAAATAAATATAGATAATTCTAATACATTACTATCCTCTTGAAAACAATAGCAAATTGTTTTTCCTCGACTCCGGAGTCATTCTGCTACAAAGAAAACCAATTTAATAACCCTTTTTTGTCCTTCTAGATACTTTATCAAAACTATTATCAATACAAAATTATTGGTTAATGGGCATATTAATTTTTTTTTCGTAAATGATTTCTCGTACTACGAAATTATACGCCAATAAAGCTCGAATCTTTACTTTCTATCATTTGCATTCTTTGGATCCCCTTCACTTTCGTAATGTCAAATATATATTTATACAGCTTTAAAATTCCTCATCAGACAGAACAGCCCATGGGCGCCACCGTTCTCGCACAGAAAAATAATACCTGCGTTTCGCAATGCACAATCTCACGCCAATAAATTTCATAAAATTCATCCTTGACACTAACTTGCTTTTTCGCGGCGAGTACAAGCAAAAAGGGTCGTTAAATTCAACTCATTCGATTATCAAGTGTACTGTAATTAGCGGTAATTAATAGTAAAATTGCGTTAGATTCGATTCTCGAGTGTGAATAAGCTTAACTTTCACCTGATGTAGTTCTTTATATCTCAGTAAATGCTGAGAGGAGAAGTTACAAGTATATGCAGAATTGGCAATTTTTCTCTTATTAATCAAATTCAATTACAAATTAAACAAAAGGTTGGGCATTTCAAGAGAATTTTAAGTCAACTAAATCAGCTAGAGATTGTCGAGAGTTGTCCGGCACCTTTAGATCGAAATTATTATAGGTAGTCTGTTCATCAAGGACGTCTTGTTCACTTTCTTTAAGTAGGATTGCTATTATTATATTTTTTAAAGCGGCATTTATTTATAAGGCTTCGTGCATTCGCCATTAACCTACCATTGTTCCAGGCAGAATGCCGCCTATTTAACATATTTCACCCTGTAAGTCGACAAAACCGCAGTGTCAACGGACAACGAAATAAAAAAAAATAACTCCAAAAAAAAGGGATATCAAAATTAACGAGTATCAACTCGGAATGAAATATATGTTTTCCTCGAAACGCTCCAACATGCATATTTATGAGATTCCAATACCATACCTGTTTTCTCAATTGCATGTTTGATATTTTTTTTTATTAAAACTTTGCCTAAAATAAAAACACGCCGCGGAGAATCCGATAATGGTAGCCGAGCACCTTGAGAAAGTTTAATGGCTCGGGATTTCGTTGCGAAAAAACGGCCTTTTCGCTTATAAAAATTCTTATAAACTTATTGTAATTCAACCACATCCTGTAAGGTACCCAATAATCCTATCAATCCATAATAAATATTAACGAACGAAGAAATTAGAGTTGAAGTTGAAGTTACGAAAGTGTTACCTAATTATTTGTGAATTTATGCACGCATAATAGAAAGATAAAAATGCATAATGCACATTCTTAGAAAATTTTAACGACAACTTTATTCATGAGCCAGTTGTAAAACTATTAACGAATGATGTTAATGTGTGATGGTCATTCTGGGCTTATTTAAACAAAATTAGGTAAAAAAGCATCGCCCTGTATTAGTTAATTTTTTACAAACATTCACAATTCATTCCTCAATGTAATTCCTCCATTTGACTGGTCCACACTATACATGTTCATCAAAAATTTCCCTTCATTACACAATGTTTTGTAACGAAATCCCATTGAATTTACACTGTAATTGATAAGAAATTTTCAATCGACGACAAAGAAATGTAAAGGAAACGACTATAGGTAATCAGTAATCGCATTTTTTTTTGTATTCGTTTCGAAGGTACCGAATAATGGCACTTCTTCCGTTACAACTAGGTAAGTTGGTAGCGGTAATGAATAGCAAGTACTTTCTTTCCGGTATATTAGACAATTAATATTGTTCTATGAACGGTGGATTCGAAACACAATACGTGCCAGGAGTGGTAATTAAATTTCTGCATTCGAGTTTCGTTTGAAAATCGAAAATGATTATTTAGAATTGTAAAAATATTAAGAATACTTGGTTCGAAAAAGTTCAATTCTTCAAAATTTCAGGAAAAGCAAAGGCAACTTTAAATACAATTTTCCTGGAAAACGTTATTTTCAATAGAATCTCGATAAAAAAAAACATCCGTTATGCTAATTCTACACAAGACCGGATTTTCAATCGACGATTCGATACGTTAGGAATAAAAATATAGCCAATTAACTCTAATTATTTCGATCTTTCCCTTTCAAAAATAAAGGAAAGAAGAAAGCGAGTAGGAAAGTTAATGAAGAGTACTAAAAATCATTCGCTAAAATTAAGAATAAACTGGCAGTACCTATAAAACGAATCATTTCGTTACCAATTTTCCTAACCGGTTTAGACAAAATTGTACTCGAAGTACCAGAAGTTTCAAAAGCGACTAAGCACTATAATCGATAATCATGTTACAAAATCTGAAGAAGTACAGGAAGACTTTTACAGTAAGGCAAGTACATAGGTACAAATGGTACTTGACAATCTGTAAACACAATAAAAAATCATCTATTTATAGTACAAGCGATTCGTGACGCTTCAATTACCGGACTGCGCCCATGTTAAGGACCTTAAAGTGAGTAAGTATCGTAAATAACGTTTTAATCTATTCCGTAATTTGCAATTAAAATGGTAGAGGTGCTGGGCGTGACAACGGCATTCCTATGACATTTCTTAAGATGGACACAAAACCGACGTAAGTATAAACGGAATGTGTACCCGGAGAAGGCGAGAAACTTCTCAAAAAAAACCAATCAATTTAAAGATTTTAGGCGGCTGTCGCAAGCACAATATTTTGGAGGAAGTGAAAACGATAGGATAAGTGTGCAAAGTTAATAATATCTACGTTATTAGAGTTAAGTTAATGGATGTCAAAATAACGTAACTCTACTATTATGTAGATCGGTAACAAGGTTTAAATGAAATAATAATTTAAAAGAGCATTTCATTCCATAAAAAGTGAAACATTCATTACTGACAATATCTGATTACAATGATTTTAGAGTATCAAATAACAATTCGGGTTGATTCTATGCAAACATCGAAATTATGGACATATTTATTTGGCTTATAAAAATGTTTTACTCCAGTACATTTATTTAATTCTAAAAATACGCATTGATTACATTTTTACCATAACAACAGTCAGTGGTAGGCAAGGCTGCTCCTGTGGAAGTGTTGAACGAATTTTCAAGGTAAGATATTTTCGAAAAATTGCAGTTAATTCGAATTCGATAAATCGGTGGATTAGGAGTTTCTAGCGAAAATTGAAATTTTAATTTCGACTACTAATTACGTGTGTACCTCTGCTTTCTAGTTGGAACAAAATTTTATATTTTTATATCGATACTAGAATAGAAAACTCTGTGTTTGTTCAACTCTTAGTTCTAAATTTTTTGGTATTCATCTCCTTACTACTCTTGCCAATGATCGCGCAACTGGAATAAAGAGGAATAAAACTAATCAAAAATGACTGCATAGATAATGAATAAAAATAATAAAATTTGGAGGCGTATAGGATAAACTTTCATAAATATTCCATTAAGATCGATTTACTCAATTTTTAAAATAATTTGTATGTACCTAAAGGCTAAACAAACACAGGGTTGGCTGTAGCGATTTTTATTTACAACTATAAATTATTTAATTTTAGGTCAAAATGGCTGTAAACGTAACATTCAATATAAGCGACACAATACCTTTAGAGTATGATGATATCTTCGCATACTATTCGAAAGAAGAACAAGAGTACTACAGTCGAATTCGAAGCATCTCCACATTTCGAATGGTCATGGATATCATCAAATTTTTCCTTTGCGTCTTCGTAGTTATCATCGATATCTACTTAATAGTCGTGATGATGAGGAATAAAAGATTGAGGGCGTGCAAAACTAACAAATACGTACTGAATTACGCGATTTTTAATTTACTGTCGTTCGTTGCTCTGCCGTTTTTCGCAATTTTCGTGGAACTTTTGCGCACTGTACGCTTGTCTAGCTGGTCCTTCTATTGCTTGGAGAGGCAAGTTGAAGATTGTTCTATGATCGGTTTATTCTTGTGCTGTTTCGCTTTATCATTCGAATGGTTAATAACCGTCTATTATAACTCGAACGTCAATCAAATCATTATCAAACTTTACACTTATTCCTTGCACATAATTTACGCTTTAATTTTTGCTCTACTTGTTCTATACACTTTGTTATGTTTCGAAGTATTTTATATCAACATTGTTCTCAATATTATACTTTACGTTATTTTACTGATATTTATCCTAATTTGTAACTATCTAAGAGTAAAAATTCCGAATCCAACCAGCAAGAAAATGTTTTCCCTTAACATAGCGACAGTAATGACGCTCTGTTGGTTGCCCCTTTTCATCTACCATCTCTTGAGCTCTTTCTTTTACCGATCGTACACATTGAGATTTTTACTTATGGCCAGTTATTTCATACCGGAAATATTGGCGTACTGCAGTCCTATAATCGTCGTTTTTCTATTGGGAAAGCTAAATAAATACTACAAAGTCGCGTTTATTCAGTCCTGCTGCTGCATTTCGAACCGAAATTACAGCGGAGACGATGAGAGTTTCATGGAAGATGATGAAGAAGACAAGGAAAACGTCGATGACTTGGCCAACAAGGCGGAAATTTTGTAAAATTAATGATAAAATTAATAAAACAGTCATGTATTTATTTATTGTGTTTACTGTGATATGTTCTTAAAAAATTGTTGACAATGTAGGTATATATTATGAAGAGTTTCTAGATTTACTGCAAAAATCATTCTAAGGGATCATTATAAAGAAAATTTCGTTATTTGAATGTAGTATTTTGGATTTGTTGTATATTTTATTAGATATTAACTGTATTCGACACTGATAAATCCATTCAGTATGTCGAAGAACAAGAAAAGCACGAAAAGGATGAATGATTTATCTTCTTTCTAATGTTTCTTTCTCCCAGTTATAGCTTTGAAGCTTTAACCCTTGAGGGCGCTAATAATTTTAATATTTGATAACATTTTCATCGAACCATCTACTTTTAAGTCAAAACGCAATGTATAATCCCGCACTTAAGTATAAATAGATTCGGCTTTGAAAAAATGTATACAAGATTATTTGCTTATTTGGTTCTAAAAATAAGCATGATACAAATTAAATTTTTGTTCATCAATTAAGCCAGTTGTATTCGCATCCAGTGAAAGTGAGCAACGAATTTCGAAGGTGGGATATTTTCAACATTTGAATTAAATCGGATTCGAACTATTGGTAAAAAAATTCTTTTAAAACAGTTGTATTATTAAATTTTAGGTCGCAGAAAATGGCTTTAAATGGAACATTATTCGAGTCAACAGAGGATAATCCACTGGATCGGTTGAAAAGATCGTCGGAAGAATTTAAAAGTCACCGTGAAAGCGTCAAGACGATTCTACAAATCACATTTATCATCATCTTAATAGTTTACGTTTTAGTAATAATCGTTGATATCTATTTAATAGTTGCCATTAGGAGAAATAAAAAATTGAGGGCGTGCAAAACTAGCAAATACTTGGTGAATTACGCGGTTTATAACTTACTGTTGACAATTTTTCCGGGAGTTTTTGCTTTTTTAGTGGCAGCTTTGAAATTGGAAAATAATTTTGGTTGGTTCTTAATATGTTTCGGAGCACAATTAAATAATTGCTCTGTAATCGGTTTGTTTTTGTGCTGTTTCGCTTTGTCTTTCGATTGGTTAATAACCGTCTATTATAATTCGAACGTTAATCAATCCATTTTAAAATTCAACTCCATTTCCTTGAACTTAATAAACGTTTTAGTGTTCGCGCTAATTGTTTTATACACTGCATTATCTTTCAACAATGTCCCTTTCATAAACACTAATTACTGTATTACATGTGGTATTTTAGTTGTTTCAGTAATATTTATACTATATTTCAATTATCTAAATCGAAAAATCCCTAATGCAACCAGCGAAAAAAAGTTCACTCTTCGCATAGCTACAGTAATGATACTCTGTTGGTTACCATTATTTATCTACGATCTTATCCCCAAGTTAATTTATTTATCGTACAATTTCTTATTTGTAATGTTAGTCACTTATATGATACCCTTTATGTTGGCACACGGCAGTCCGATCATTGTTATTTTCCTATTGGGAAAGCTAAATAAAAGCTACAAAGCTGCATTCATTCAGTGCTGCCGCAGCTGTTTCTGCTGCTGCTGCAAATCGAGAAGAAATTACGGCGAAAATGAAGAGGGTTCAGAGAAAGATGAAAATGGTGCATCGATGATTTGACCAACAATTATGAAATTTCGTAAAGTGAATGTAAAATGAATAAAGTTGTTTTGTATACATTTATTGTGATGTCTTTTTCCTCAAAACTCCACAACTCTATGAGTGTTTTTGAAGGACAAAATGAATAATTTACTGAAACAAGATTGCTAATTTTAATACCGATAAATTCCCAGTGCTGCAAATATAGTGATATGGAAGAGCATTTCATTTCATAAAAATTGAAATATGCATTACTGATAATATTTGATTACAATGTTTTTATATAGTACTTTATTACAATTGGGGCAGATTTGCTGTAAACATCGAATTAATTTCTACGAAGCACGCGTATATACAGACAGATTTGGATGGTAAAAATATTTTACCCAAATGTATATTTAATTAATTCTGATAATACGTACGAATTATATCATCAATACAGTTAATAGTAGGCTGCGGTGGAAGTGTTCAACAAATTTTCAAGGTGAGATATTTTTGAAAAACTATAATACAGTTAATTCGATTTTGAATTTTAAATCGGTGGATTAAAAAAATTTAATTAAATCTAATTTCGCTTACTGCATATGTAAAATTTTTTATTTCGATATTGATCGATATTAAAAAAGAAAACTAATTAGCTCTAGTTCACTACATCGTATAAAAATAAAAATAATAGGGGGCGTATGAATAATACAGGATAAACTTACAAAATATTCCATTAAAATCAATTTACTCAAGTTTTAAAATAAGGCTTGCTAATGCAGAGTGGCTCTTCTATAATTATCTATTAAGGATCTTCTTTTACAACTTGAAATGTTCAATTTTAGATCAACAATGGCTTTAAACGTAGCATTCAACGTAAGCGATGCAATAACTTTGGATGATGACACATTCCACGAATTCGAAGAAGAATTTTACTACAATCAAATTCAACAGAGCTTGTCCACGTTTCAGCTGGTTATGGATATCATCAAATTTATCCTGTGCATCGTCGTAGTAATCACCGATATCTACTTAATAGTGGTGATGATGAGAAATAAAAGATTGAGGGCCTGTAAAGCTAACAAATACGTAATGAATTACGCGATTTTTAATTTAATACCGTTCCTTGCTCTGCCATTTTTTGCAGTTATCTTGGCACTGTTACGTTCCGCACCTTTTGAAAGTTGGACCATATTCTGCTTGGAGAAACAAGTCGAAGATTGCTGTATGATCGGTGCATTTTTGTGCAGCTTCGCTTTAGCTTTCGATTGGTTAATAACCGTTTATTATAACTCGAAAGTGAACCAAATCATTATCAAAATTCACACTTATTCCTTGCACATAATTTACGCTTTAGTTATTGTTCTAGTGGTTTTATACACTTTGTTATGCTTGAGTTATGATTTTTTTAACGTTGTTTTCAATACTATTATTTACGTTATTTCACTAATATTTATACTAATTTGTAACTATCTAAAATTGAAAATTCCGAATCCAACCAGCAAGAAAATGTTTTCCCTTAACGTAGCGACAATAATGATGCTCTGTTGGTTGCCTCTTTCCCTCTACCATTTCATGGGCTCTTTCTTTCATCTATCGTACACATTGAGTTATTTATTATTAGCCACTTATTTCATACCGGAAATATCGTCATTCTGCAGTCCTATAATCGTCGTTTTCCTAGTGATAAAACTAAATAAATATTACAAAGTCGCGTTTATTCAGTCCTGCTGCTGCATTTCGAACCGAAATTACAGCGGAGACGATGAGAGTTTCATGGAAGATGATGAAGATGACAAGGAAAACGTCGATGATTTGACCAACAATGCGGAAATATCGTTAAGTGTAAATTAGAGAGATAATAAAATTAAAGATAACGTTAATATTATAAAGTAGTCATGTATTAATTTATTGTTTGTGTTAACTGTGATATGTTTTTCTTCAAAAGTTTCGAGGAATTCGAAGACGAAGAAAAGGAAATCGTTGATGAATAATCGTATTATTGTATCAGACTTCTCTTAAGTAGTTTTTTTATCTTACTCAGGATAAACTCTTAATTTCTAGGGAAGTTATTGTTGTATCCAAAAATGGTGAAGGTTCGACCATCATGCATCCATTTATACATCAGACGAATAATGTTAATATTCTTAATAAATATCTATACAACTTAATTTTTTATCATCCTCTTCTATCCGTTTTACTTAGACCTTAGATTCTCTGAAAGCATTTCCTTTATATTCAATCCTGCACCCACACCTCTTCTTCGATCTACCCTTCTTGTTCCTATTCATTCTATAAGCAGGAATCGCGATTATTTCTTCATATAATTCGGTTTCTACACGAAGGCTTCAGAGCTCCAGCTGACTCAGCCGAGAAGATATGCAGAATCTTCCAATATAAAAGCCGGAGCGTTGGCGGTGGCAATCCTCTGACGGCGATTGTCGTTCTTCGTTGGCTGGCGCAAAAGAGCGAAAGTTACCTTCGAAAAGAATTCGCCTTCAGTTGGTTTCAGTGCCGAAGAGTCGACGTCGATCCAGCAGTTGCAGGTTGGGGATATGCGGCGTTGAGTGTGTCGAAAAAAACGTGCACAATATATATTTTTTTTTGATTTCGTTAATAACTCAATCGACTGTGGTGAGGGGCGGTGGTTTGTGCTTCGAAACGGGCCGGCCGAACGGGGCTAATTTTATTTGAAGGTTTTTAGGGAAAAATTCGTTGGGAAATATGACTAGGATATTTGCATTGTAAGTAAATTATTTGATTGATATATTATTAAATGAAATTATTCGAAAATCGAATTGCTATATGTAAATTGTTTGAAAGTGCAGCGAAGGAATAATTAAAAGTTTTTTTCATACATAACAAATAACGGTAATTTTGCCTTTAATTGATAACCGACTAGAGAAAATGAATATCCTTAAAAGGGTAGAGTAATTAACTTAAGATTCGTGCGCTTTCCTTCCTGACAATAAACGCCTAATTACAAGCAGTTAATTTCACGCCGGTTTTTTTCATTATTATTACTCTATTTTTTTTCAAATAACATGTACATTTATTCCATAAAAATACTGCCAACTACTATATGATTCAAGAAAAGTTTTTCACACTTGGAATGCAATTTACAATCTACTGTCGCAATACAAATTGCACAAATCTCACTCTATTATCCACTTTAATCTCTTATTTATTTAAAGAAAAACTACTAGTTGTTATGTGTTGCTGGTTTTCGATAGAAAAAAAGAAAACTGTGCACCGTTGTGCGTAACGATCGTGCACCGTATATCAATCTCGAACCTGAAATGCATGTATCTAAATTTTAAATCGATTACAGAATCTGACAAATTACGTAAAACATTTAAATAATTTTATTTACTTATACTTTCACCTGCGACTCTAGTGAAAATCGATATCTATAATACGTATTTTCGGAATAATTAATCGGCGATTCAAACGATTTTCTACTATAGCCAACGGAAATTATTATGAATAACTGAATATCCAGATTAAATTGGAGAATTAACTGCAGATTTTTACGCAAGAAAGTTATTTTATCCATCATCTTGTAAAATTATCTGCAAGGATTATCAACCACGCAGATACTTATCTGGCGGCCTTTCAGCTCGCGCTTTTTTCGAAATGCCAAAGGTCGCGAGCAACAATAAAAATAATTTGCCGAGATGTAAGTACTTTCACAATGCGATCGCTCAACATTATCCGTTTACGTGTGTGGTTTCTAATTTTTTTCCAGCGTATTTTTTTAGTACCGGTACTGGTTGACATTTCGTATATACGATTTTAAACGAGGAGCGGCCATTATGCATAAAGAATCGTACAACAGCAATTCCTAACGTTAATTACCAGTAAATGTTGTTAAAGTTAATAACGGTAATTGAAGGATTATTGCACACGGAATATTTTTCTGTTGGTTTGCTATTCTTTTCAAAGAGTTGATGCTTTGAGTTCTTGGCCTAATATTGATGATGCTGGGTTCGATAGAAAAATATTTCGAATGATTCTGAAATATCCAATTCCGAAACGTAACCGATTGAGTCAGCTGCGAAACACGTTCGCCATTCCACGATTCAATTAATATTCGAATCGCTAATGTCATCAGACCAAAATTTGCACGTCTGAATATTAAACGATATTGGTAACGCGCGATTACATAAAAAAAAACCATTGCGAAACCTTTTCTTCGGATTAAACGCCGTTTAAAAAGCGTTTCCAAGACCCATATACCTAGATTTTCTTCTATTAACGAGAAGAATACCCACTCTCATAAAATAAACCTCAAGGCCGGCGCAAACGAGAAGATATATACAAATTCGCCTGCACCCGGATAATCCGGGGGGGCGCCCGGCATTTGCATATCCTGTCTGTACCGGAGCACCTCGAAACCTGCAAGTGGGTCACTTTCGATGGAGCCGTCGCGATGGACCGGGCACCGGCTCTCTTGTGTCAGTGACTTCCTCCTGAGCGAAGACGAGAGTGAAAGATGAGGAGAAATTGGCTGTTTCAAGGTCAGATCGCGACCTTCCGTCGGAAGAAAGTGATTACGCGAGCGATAGCCCGCGGGATTCTCTGCTTAATTTATAAGCCTCCTCTCGAATTTTGTAATTGATGTAATTTGTTCCGTTGATTTGTTAGGCGCATTGAAGAGGCTTAGTCAAAAGAACTTGGTAATATTGGTAGGAATTTAAGAAGAATTTCCTGTTCATCTTTAAGCAATTATTTTAGATGGATTTTTGGTATTATTGGTAATATTGGCAGGAATTTAAGAAGAATTTCTTGTTCATCTTTAAGCAATTATTTTAGATGGAATTTTAATGGATTTCTTAAATATACTGCTCCACAAAAATTAAGGAAGTTGACAAATATGGAGATTAATTTAAAAGTTGCAGGTTTTTTGATCGCCAAATTTAGTATGAATTGTAAAGGTAGAGGCAAAAAATCCACTTAGATATGAGAGAAAACATTTAATTTCGCATATTTGAAAATTTCGTGATCAAAAAGTCTGGAATTTTTAAAATAATCGCAAAATTTGCGAACTTCCTTAACTTTTGTGGAGCAGTTTATTTTTGAACTAAACAAAACTAAAAGAATGCGTGCTAAAGAATCTAAAAATTTACAAAATTGGTTAAAAAAAGACAAAATCATCCACTTCAAAACTAATAAAAATCGTACTAGTTGCAAGAATTACAAAAAACCAATTATCGTGCATCTAAAAGAAGTTCTAAAGCACTCAAATGATCGTGCAGCATTCTATTGTTGACCATGACTCTGCTCCCAATGGACTTTTAAGTACAATTAACCTATGGAATCGGTTATATTTTTTTTAATAGAACGAATTACAACAAGCCGCCGATATTCAAAGAGATCGACAGCTACCGGTCTTCAAGGTTTTTTGTACTTTTACTCTCACTTTGCCACTCCGAAGTGGAGTGGTAGCTGATGATGCACTCGAGCATATGTCAAACGGAAATTGTATAAATACCGTTTGAACGGCAAACACAATAACACGACGAAAAAGTTATCTGAGAAAGGATCTGGAGATTTTTCATTAGCTTTAATTGACAATTATAACGATTTTCTAATGAAGCGGATATCTCCACGAATCATTCGAATGGAAAAAGTGTAATTATAATCCTAACAGAATCCTTTTACTTCAGCAAACAAAAAAGAGAAACTGCAATGTGTGAGAGAATCCTCAAATAATGTATAATTGTTAATCAACTAATACAACAAATGTAGAAAAGAAACAACAAATGAATACAATTCAATTATCTAATGAACACAAAACAATTATGTTAGAAACTTAAATTCGCCGATAAATAAATATATACCAACATAGTTGGAAATTTTAATGAACGAATTCATGCTTAAAAACACTCGAGAAAATAATTGGAAATGTATTAAGAAACATCTGTTTCAATAAAATTTGGCCTAATTTTTACTCGCTTTAATACTCTAGTTATTTTCTAGTTAACAAACAAATGTTTTCCGAGAAATTTTTATTACTGTCCTTTTTACCTTATTTAATCATTCTGCTTGACCATTTGTCATAATGAACTAAATCGCTCTCTAAATTTCATTATAAACGAGTTAGATACTATTAGTTTTATCAAAAAAACGTGTCGGTAATTGGCATTCTGCTGTTAAATATAGCAATTCTGCTTCGATAACGCGGTTTTTGGCGCGTTCCCGAGATTATAAGGAAAGTAGAAATGCATATTTTAATTGAAAGTTCTTTTTTATCCAGCAAACTTGTTTCTATTCAGATAACAACGACAAATCTTTTAGAAACAAAACTTCATCTCAATAATTATTAATTACCACGACTGGAGTACTGAAGATGTAGCAATTATTTAACAGGAAATTTACGATTTTTTATATTTCTATGCATCCAAGTCAACTTACCGGTTTACCCATCACATTGGATTACTCTCTAACCTTTCCACCCATCATAATTAAAGCAATCGCTTTTTAGTTATGCAGGTGTGACCTTTAAAAAATTCCAACTAATAATTTCTACTGGAAAAACGTGACTATTGAGTCATGATCAAACATTCTCGGCCGTAGAATAAAACAAACTCGAGAGAAACGAAGGAGATATTACTGATGCAAGAGAGAATGAAATAAACCGACAGAGCTGCATGAACATTGCAGCTTCTAATTCAGAACAATTTCGATATGGATTAAAAAATGTTTCAATTCTACTTATTAAAAAAGTTTTTATTAGTTATTTCCCAAACTTGACTATCGATTGTAATTTTGATTGTATAGCTAGACCGCCTAACAATTTGATTCAACTGTAATATTATAATTAATAAGGTGACGAAATGAAATAGGTATTGAAATAGGTATTGAAAAAATTATTCAACCGACGCATAATAAGCCATTTTCTCCACATAATACGTAACAGTTTATTGTAAAATATATTATGCGTAGTCGTTACCAGATATCATATTGCTCCAGATACCTACACCTTAGAACCAATACTAGTTACAACACAATGTGGGCTACAAGAAAACAATTCGTAATTTCGCCTATATCTAAGAAATATCCAATAAAATAACGATTTTTTTATCAACATGCAACCACCGTTTGTTCTTACACGCTATATTTAAATGATAATCGCGTAAAGATATGTGATTAACAAGGTGTAGTATTAATTGCATTATAATTCTGCATTGTAGTTGAGGTAAGGTGGTCATTGCATAACTTCCTTGGAAATGCTATTATGTTAAATCGAATCCAATCAACTTGTACAAAATAGGACATGTGCTCAAAATCGTTTTCAAGTAGAAACAAATTGAGAATTTTCAAACCGACAAAAAAGAGCAAATTATTAATACAATAGCAGATATTCTATACCATAAATAACCACGTGACACGCTCAATTCTTTTAGCGTAGGCTCACAATTAGCATCGAATGTGAACACAAACTCGCTAAATAATTTCATCACGATTCCAGACTACTTTTTGCCGCCGCATTGTCCTCGATTCGAGCCCTGCCGTCCAAATCGGCGCTCATAACGGAACCCCAACCGGGCGACGAGTACGTTTTCGTGCAATCGAACAACGACGATGCCAAGCCGATAACGAGAAAAGAGGGCGACAAACGGTTCGAAACCGCCCACAAACTCCCCCCGTCGCTGACCTACAAGCTACAGCAAGAGCGCGACGAGGAGAGCGAAGTCGAAGAGAAGAGCCTCTCCAAGCGGGAGGCTCAAAAAACGGCCGCTCCGGCGCCTCCAGGGGCTACCAAAATCGACGTGAAAGCGCTACTAGCTAGGTAAGCTCGAGGTAATTACGAGTAAACAGTTACAATACTTTTGTATCTCAAACAGATATCAAAGTATTAGCTCTACAACGGTCGCTCCCAAGTCAACGCAAACGACGACCAAAAAACCCCAACGTCGCAAAGCAACGAAGAGAGTAAAGAAAGATGTCAGCGAGGAAAATCTAGAAGTGACCAGCTCTCTTCCGATATTGACAACGGGAAAATCGGTGCCCAGGGCTAGCATTGACGATATCCCTTTGCTAGGCGCAGCCAGCGATAAACAGAGGTCCAGAATACAAATCAAAAAAGGGCCCAACGGGCAAGAGTACGAATACGAGTACGTCTATTATTACTACGATGACGACGATCCCAAAGACAAGCCGATAACTAACGCTCACGACGGCCCGGCGAGAAATCAAATACCCAACACGGATAAGAAACCAGCCAAAGAATCCAACGAAATTCTACCGGCACGCGCCGGTACTAAGGGCAGAGGAAGGCAATTGGGAGAAGACGAGACCATCAACGAAGAACGCCTGCCGGCTAATACCAGATTCCCGCCAAGGTAAACATTCCATATTGCTACACAAGTTGTTCCATTAACCAACGTGAAAGTTAAAAGTTTTGAGGTGGAACAATTCGATTGCATCGACTGATTCATTCAAGATAAGTATCTGTTTAAAGGAGCAGAAATTTGAACACCACTCCTCTACCCGAAGAGGACATCAAGCCGGTAACCAGAGGCCGCGGAAGAGGAAGGCCGTCCAGCGAGGCTAGCACTGAGGTCGACAATGTATCCGACGAAAGTCAGGTAAGTAGATTTTTTTTTTCTGTTTTCGAACAAGCAAATAAATTCGGCTGATATTAAACGAGTTGCAGGGTTCGAGAGGTCGTACGCGCGCCAACGTGCACAGGGTGAATTTGGATTTGGTCGACAGCGACAGCTTCAACAGCAGCCCCAACCAGGCGAAACCGTCTTTCCCGCAAGAACTTCCCGATGGCCCGGTACGTTTCTTGGGGGCCATACCCAACGAGCGCATCGAACTCGAACAGCCAGTAATTTGTTCAATTTGATTGCATCGCACTAATTTCGCACCAAAATATCATTTTACCACGATATTTTCATCGTAAACTCTTCATATTACCGTTAGAATACTCCCGCAAGCACCTTAATAATGCTTACATACTCCAGATGACTACTTTTTTTCTCCATCAATTTAAAACTAATCGTACAACTCTAGTACATATTTTATGATCTACTATTCACAGGCTCAAGAACCGGCCAACAGACCACTAGCAACTCCTGTAAATGAAGATATAGACGAAAGTAAAGAAAATACCGGAGAAACAGTGGATCCCACTACCACAGCAATGTCACCAATGGACAAAGTAGCTCTAGACTTATACGCAATATCCCAAGGCAAATTATTCGGCGACGAAGGCGAAGCCAACACAGAAGAAGACAGGACCGGTTCAACCGAAGATGCTACAGCAGAAGCCTCAACAGGTCCTCTCGTCACACAAACCAAAATCAAATTAATACGAATAAAGTAATCATTTTGTTTAGAATTGGAAACCACCTCGACCACAACAACCACCACCACCACGACCACCACGACCACTACAACGACTCCGCCGCCTCCGCCATCGACGGAAGCCCCGGCGAATTTCGGACGGAGCAAATTCGGGGCGGGTAGACGCGCGCCCAACGGTAGAAAAACCGCCACCCACTCGACCACCACCACCACAGAACCCTCCGCCTCGGAGCCCAAGAAGAAGTTCGGAAGACCCGGCTACAGCCGGTCGAGAACTCGCACCACGTCCGCTCCCGCAGCCGAAGAGGAATCCCACCGAGACGATGCCAAAACCGTCGCTCAATCGAAGGTAAGTAAATACAACGAAATATTGTAGTGAATTACACCGAGCATTTAGCCATCGACGAGCCGATCCCGTTTCGGCGCGTCCAGACCCAGAGGTAGAACCACAGCGGCTCCATCGCACGAACCTAAAGAAGAAACCTCCACCACTTCGCATTCATCCAGCAGGGCGTCCTTGCCTCGTACTCGCCACAACTTCGGATCGTCCAGAACGCGCAGCAGGACCACTGCAGCTCCTTCCGCCGACACCGACAACGAATCATCAGGATCCACTATCGAAGCAAGGTAACTACCATTTATTTATACAAACGCAAATTTATACCAACGATTTTTGAACAGCAGCACCACAGCAAGATCGCGAAGAATCAACGCCAATTCGGCGGTGAGACCTCTAAGACCGGGACCCCGATTGAACATCGGAAGCAGAACCAGAACGACCAGCACCGAAGCACCGCCAGAAGACCATGTTACTGGAGACGATGAGCCCGAAACTAACCACCAACAAGAAGCTAAAGAGAAGGTAAAATCTTAATAAACAGCTTCGTTAGGAGATGATATTCTAGCGATTTCGGCGCAACATCGAGCGAATCGAGCCGATGCTTAAGAGGTTTCGTAGTTACAGGAGGAGGCTCCGGCGCCGGCGGACAACTCGCCGCTGGGGCGGCTGCGCAGCAAGGGCCGGCTGACGCCGCAGGCGCGCCAAAAGACGGCGGCCAGCGCGCCGGTGCAGGTGCGCAGGATCAACCCGCTGTTGAACCGCAAACGGCCCGGCCAGACGACGGAGGCGACGGCGAGCGAGGCGCCGGCGGAGGCGCCGTCGACCGAGGAGGCGGCCGAGACGCCGGAAGAGGAGCCGGAGGAGGCGGCGCCGGCCGGTTCGAGCACCACGACGGAGGAGCCGAAGGGTTTGAATAAATTGTTGGCGGGACGGAGGAGATTGACGGCGAGAGTGCCCGGAACGTTGGCCGGTAAAGCCTGAACGGGAGAGCGGAGACTGTTTTAGTAACTCAATTGATTGTTGGTTTTTTAATTTTACTTATCTGATTTGGTATTGATGAGCAACGAGCCACGGCGATTTTTTTTTAGGATAATTCTTCGGTCTGTTGTAGACTTTTTGTGTGCTTTTTTTTTGTTATTTATTTACATTGATTTTTTTTTCTAATTATTAACTCGTAGTTCAATAGTGGGTTTCAAAAATGTCAACTAAATGATGTTTAGAATTAAATGCGTGTTTAAAATTTAGGTTTGTTACTAATTTAAGGTTTCTTTAATTTCATTTCATATACAATGGGAATTAAGTGCTAAAGTGCAACATCCCCTGTTAAGTAAATTTATTTTTTTCTAAGTAAACTGTGCATAAAATAGTGATCCTGTCAGTGAAAGATCAAAGGATATTATTGTGCTCTATAATACAAGAAAATTAATTTTATCAGCACAACTTTCCAATATGTAAATGTAAATACTGATTACACTATTATTCGTAAATCGGCTAAGCTGCTACAATTTTAAACGCTTCAAGTAGTTTTTAGTAACATTCAATATTGTTTTTATTTCACACTTGAATGTGCAGGCCACAGACGTGCCAATATTTTATAGCTAATAGACTTGTAACTTATTGCCAATAGGATTTCCTCGATTTGTACATAAGGAGTAATTTTATTGGTTTCATTTTCTTAGCTCATTTTATACTTTGACTTAGGTTACGGCGAATATTATGTAAAATTTAATTTAGGTTGAATGTATGAATAAATCGGAAAATTATTTCTTCAAAATTCATTGTAAGCGTAATGTGTATACATAATCGTAATATTGGTTTTATAGCAAGTTTGATTGAGTAATGGGTTCATTAAAATGGAGTTAAACAAAATGGAGGAACTTACCAAACAGGAAATCCACAGCAACTCTGATGATTCACTTATTTCAGCAACACTAACCACATTAACTGTCATTATTATGTCTGTAGGTATAAGGAAGGTATTTATTTAACTGAATTACCGATAAACTCGTACCGAATCAGGAAATTTTTGCTTTTAGGCCCGGTAAACTATGCTGGTAAGATCCTCATTGAGGCTTACTATCATTTTTTTTTATTTTGATCGGCAAAACATACTTACAGTTTGACATTTCAAATGACAGATTCTTTTGCAATGTCAAGTTTGCATTGGAACAATTTCAAAATCACCAGGAATAGGTTAAAAGTATAAAACGTTTTATTATAAAAGATACTAGTGTTTACAGTGTTTGTTACAAAAATTAATATTTCTATTAAAAAAAACAAAGGACAGAATAGATTTTACAAAGTAAATGCTATAAGTACGGAAAATAATGCCGGAATGTTATCACGAAACAATGTATGTAATTTTTGTGTTCTGTGAAAGATATGTCTTAAAATAAGATAAGTTACCAACAAGAAAATATTCATTAACTTCTAGTAATATAGTAAAAGATAAAATAAAATGTCTCTCATACTACCTACAAAAAAATCGATAAAATGATTAGAAAACACAACCGAAAAATTTTCCAAAAACAAAACAGTCTGAACCAAGTAGTTATTTTCTGGTAAAAACTGTGTTTCACTGTTACAAAAATAAAAAAATGTCATACATACATCACATTAAATACTTGTACAATACACTACATGCCCCATAAACAATTGTAACTATTTGAATTAATATTTAACAGCAAATACTGATAAACCATTAGGTACAACAAAACTATCGGTGACTTAGAGAGAAAATATACATTTGAACATTTCAAATTGACAAGAAAATATCACACATATGTTCAATTTATTAACAATTTGCGTTAACAAAAAAACTTATCCTTGCGGGTTTTGAAATAAAACTGGAAGACTAAAGTCATCAAGTAATTTGCTTATTTTCAGATAGAAATATTCAAATTCTCGGTCATAAATAATCCATCCAGATTTAATGAGGATATAACTTTAATTACAAAATTTAATCTATTGAAAGAAATTGTACGTTTAATCCATTACATCACCACACAATGGACCTTTATTTTTTATATACCTTAAACACCCTGTTTTTTTATAGTTTATTTATTGAAAAAAGTGATTAATAGGAGTAATTTAGTAGACTATTTCAATTTAAAATATTGATAATATTACAAAACTTAACAACAATACAGTCATAAATAATAAATATCTAGTAAACTTTTAATCTCCCATAATCCTCATTGGGAATAATAACCTCTACGTCGACATAACTTTAGAGAGCTGAGAATGAATTCCCAATTACTCCTATTAAAAAATTTCACTAATTTATATCTGCTAAATGGCTCGAACTTTTTTGTTAACCAAAACCACCGACGCCAATTTGTCGTTATTATCGTATTCCTGCGCTTTTATGTACAACAATACGCCAACTATCACAGTTATTGTACCTAAACCACTAAGTAGAGTCACTGGATTCCCAAACATAACAACTGACAACCATATCAGAAAAGCACGTTTCGCTGTATTTGCCACACTGTAAAATTTTTTTTAAATTATTAGAGGATTGTGAAAGAATTTAAAGCCTCACCTGTGTGTTACGGGACTAATGTAGTCCATTAAAACGTACGCTGTAATGCTTTGAAAATGGAAGAATATTCCATTCAAAATGAACGATAGTATTATTTTGTAAGACAATTTTTCTTCTGCCTCGAAATCCACCATCAGTAACGTTGCTGGTATTTGTACTATTATACTGGCTATGCTGGTATAAAATTGCAGCTCTGCAGGACTGAAATAGAGTATTTAAATGTGTACTAGCAATAATTTGTATAGGAATTATTCATAATAAGAAATATCTGCAATTCAATAGACCGATCAGCAAATAAAGGAAATTAAATACCAGTTAAACTATTACAAAACGAGTAAAACGCTCGAGACATAAATTATCACCTGACATTTAAGACTGTCCAAAGTGAAAGTGTATGTAAATGCCACATTCTTCTTCATTTTCTAATAGTATATTATTCACATTCGTAATTACTTACGTGTATTTGAATTTATCTCCGGATATTAGCATTTTTGAATAAACATTTTGTATGCATTCCGTTACATTGGTGGCCATTGCTGCTATGAATCCAGTCAATTCGAAACTGACTTCGTTTATCGAACACAAAGCCAATCCGGACATTACTGGTAGCAGACTTAAATTAACGTACATACCGGTTTGTTCGCCTAATAAAACAGATATATTAAAAATCCATATAAATTACAACGGAAGAAACTTACCTAATAAAAATCTAGAAATTAATACTGTAAACAGGGGTGCTGAGCTTTTTATAGTTTCGGTGAAGCTCACAGCAACGTAATTTAATGCTATTAAGCCGAGAACGACGGTGAAGAATCTAAAAGTGATTCGATTAATATACAAGGCGAAGGCCGATTAATTTCCTAGTTACCTAAAGCAACCGACTAAAATCATGTGCCTAAAAAACCCCGGGGGTTTGTGTAAACGTTGGGTGGGTTTGTACATTCCGCAGGGGAAATATAATTGAATAAATCCGCATGTAGCAGTCATTAGCATTTGGCATGCAGCTACAAAGGAACTTGTATGAATTTATTTGATAATAAATGTGAAAAAAATGCTTACCTAATATAGCAGGATTGCCATTTTCGTAACTTAAAATGTACTTGTTCAAAAACAAAGTACAACCGCTAAAAAAATACCACAACAGTAAAAATGTTACAGCTCTGAAACTTGTCAGGCCTTTTCTACGTTTCTCTATTGTTACATCTTTCTTTCCGCTATTTTCTTGTTCTTTTGCAGTCATTAAATGTTGCTTGTCCATTTTAATATTATCATAATTTTATTACGTAAAAGTTATTTAAATTCCACTCAACTTCTTAAGCACATCAGTTTTCTTGTTTGTGATATTTTATAAATGATATAAATTTGACAACTGCTTCGTTTTTAAACGTTACTGTGACTGCTACTTAATAACGTATTCAGTAACTTTTAAAATAGAATAACTAATGTATTTTTTAATCAATTTTTATCATTTAGTTATTAGTTTTCGTCGGTTTTTTATAATTCAATACGTTTTCCATAGACAAAATATATCTTTCTATCTTTCATCTTTCTTTCTCTATGGTTTTCTTTATTATTTACTCGATTAATTAAGTATTGAAAAGTAAACTGAACTCACGATTAGAAAAAGGCACGATAAAGCGTAACTAAAAAGAAGAATATATGTGGTTATCAAAAATATTGAAATTTAAAAATTCCATTTCATTGTATTTTATTATTGAAAAAGTTATTATTTAATAGAACAGTTTAAAGTCAATATGATTCTTTTAATAGTGGCAACAATTTTGAGTTTTGCTAGCATTCATTCAATTCTATTAGGAAAGCAGGTACATGTATTTGTATAAAATTCGACAATTTCAAATCTAATTAAACCTACGTTGCAGATATTGAAATGGTGGAATAAGCCTACAACAAAAGAAAAAGACCTGATGACGCAAAAAAACGATTTGAAGAAGGTGCAGAAGAGCATCAGTATTACAGACAACTTCGCTAAGTACTCGAGAATACAAAGACAAATCAACAAAATAGATGAAGACCTTAACACGTACAAGGTCGGAAAGAACAATTTATTCATTCACTTCGGTTTAACCTACGGGTTAAAGGTGTTCTTCGGGTTGTTGCTGGTCGGGTTAAGTATCTATTACAGGTCTACTCCTGTCATGAAGATCCCGAGTGATATAGATTTAACGCCATTCGATCGATTTATATCGTATCCGCATTCGGAAAAAGTGGTCTCGTTTCATTTTTGGGTTTTGTGTAGTTCAGCAACAGCCAAACTAATAAAGTATTGATTTATTAACACCATTTATGATTTTTTTAACACCTAAAAGTTAATTATAAATAGGGTAACCCTTTTACCTACCTATATTATAGATTAACGGAGGTATTTCTATGAGAAAATCTTGCAAATTTGGACAATAAACAGGTTCAAACTTCAAACTTGTTCAAAACTACCTAAAAAGCAGTTTTTGATTAATAGAAAATTTGGATAAAATAAAAATTCTGTTCATAAAAGTAAATAAATGATTTTATTAAAAACTTTCAATATATTAACAAAAATAAAACACACGATAAATTTGATTTTATTTTAATGAGCAGCCGCTTTGAGCGCCTGCAGGAATGTTCGTTTTTATTCAACAAATTTAGAGAAAAATTGATAGGAATGAAAACTCGATTGCACTTATATTTACAACAAAAATATTAAAATTATCGTGCCGAACGATCCTCCAATTTTTCTGTCCGAGATTAAAAGTTAGAAAACATGCTTTAATCCGTGTATATCTCAATAAAATTGGGGGGCCGGAGCCCCCCGGTCAAATAACATCAAATATACAGAGACGCTTGAGGTAATCACAATTTTTCATCGCTTCGTAATACCAAATGCAATTTGTATCATTTAAAATTTCATTTACAATTCGTTGTGACAACTAAATTTGTTTTAAAGTTCAAAAGAACTGTTTTATTTTATTTTATAAGCGCCCTGTATGCATTTTACTAAATAGTTGAGTTTTGAATTCTTCAATAATTATCTATACAACAACAAATTGCCAACATTTTCTTTATTTATTTAATTAAACAATGGTCGAACTGAGCCACCGGGCAATAATAATCATATATAAAAACTCTTATTTTGTTTAAATATATCTCATCTATCGTACGCAAAGTATATCAGCTAATGTGGCGTTGAAGTCAGAGAGCAAAATTGCTTCTTGAGCAAATCATTCCTATTTTTAATAGGAAATAACCGATAAATCAGCAATATCAATCGATGAAGTGGTGTTTGGAATGCTTGTTAATTAATGTTATGGTGTATTTTATGTTCATACAACATAACACCATTTGCTTAAATACAAACAGCAGATAATGAATATCCTGCAGTAAATGCGGATGAATATAAAAAAAAAGCTCAATGCATTTTTAAGAGGATCAAATGCGATTGATAAAAATGTGTTGCAGGATGAATATAATTTAGTAGTGTATTAAATCGGCATAAAGTAGTCTTTAGATTTCTAGATAGAAAACTACACAATTGTCAGGAATTAAGATACAACTGTTCGCATCAAACAGTAACAAACATACTTTGCTAACCGATAGATTGTATAAAAAATTACTTAATTGTTGTCGATCAAACACACTTTTCATCTTAAATCTTTATTTGTAGGTAATTGACTATATCGCGTGCGTTAGGCCATTGGCTGATATGTCTTGCCCGGTGACGTCAAACCGCTGACAGTTCGACGATACAATCTTAAAAACACCAATTTCTTTTTCGTAAAGGACATTCGCTTTCGCTAGGCAATGACGTCACGAGCCAACATGTTGCAACGTTGCCGGGTTGAAATGAAAATCTTGATGTGACAGATATATTTAATTTAAAGGTTATGTTTACTTTCATTGTTTAGAAATTAAAAAGAAGAAATGCATTAGGTTGCAATCCGATTGACGGGAGAGGTGTTTATTTGCAACGCTTCAAAACCCTATAAACCGAAATATACATTTAAAAAACTATTCGTAAGTTTAACATAACCTATTAATTTCAATGTGCTGAACTATCGAAAATATTGATCGAAAAAACACCGAAAATCGCGAGAGAAACTGTCGATAAATGTAAATAAACGTAAACTTGAAAAAATACAGGAAAATCGCGCAAAAACAACAAATTGTAGTCATAACCTGTCAAATTATCAACTACAAAGCGCCGCTAAATATTGCGAATGTTGAGACTAAATGCATGACAACATCGCCTTCGACTTTCAACTACGCATCATAAAATTCCCCTAGTCAAATGGGAGAATTTACATCGACACTAGGGAAACGTTGAACTGCTTAGAAATTAATGACGTCGTCCAAAACGGACGTCATAGCCTAGCGAGCGCGAACGCCCTCTATTTGTACGTATAACATCAACATCCCCCACTTTCATAACAATTTCCTAGGAATTTTTTTTATCCGAATAAAACAAAATTCATTGTTCACCAACAATACATCTCATATTCAGCAAACCATCGATCAACTCATCGATCACTCATCAACAACTCGTCCCGATCCGCCATCGAACACACCACGCTCAAGCGCTGGGCCGTATCACGTTCTGCGGCCCGTTGTTCGCCAGAAACCCCACCGGCGACACCGACATGGGATGCTGCATGGACAGGCTCGCCATCGCGTTCACCGTCTCCTTGTCCTCCTTCTCGTTGCGCAGCGCCTCGTTGAACGAGCACGCCGCCCCTTTGGCGGCCTCCCGCAGGCACGGCCACCGCTGCCCGTGCACCGCCATCACCTTCTGCATGGCGAGCACGGCGTTGTGGCAGGGCGCGCGCGCCAACTCCTGCTGGGCCAACGGCGACGGCTGGTCGCCCAGCAGGACGCGCACGCACTCCTCGGCCGAATCGCAGATCGACGGGAGATCGTAGCCGCCTTCCAAAGCGAGCACTATGCGCCCCCTGGCGAGCGTCATCAACTGCCTTATCATGTACCTGCGGATCGATTATTAATAGAGAGTTGGTGGAGAGTAGAATGTAGAAGAACTCACCCGAAACAAGCTGGTGAAACTTTGTATCCACCCAATGGATCCGGATGACCATCGGTTAGATCGAAACCGGATGAAACGAGTATGATATCAGGATCGAATTCTCTAGCTATGGGCATGACGATGCTTCTAAATGCTGCTAAGTATTCGGCGTCGCCGAGCGGCGGGTTCAATCCACCCGACCAAGCGATATTCACGTTGAATCTACCAACAAATTGGGAGTTTAAAGAGATGAAATTAAGTATTGGGTTTGACTTACCCGACGCCGGCGCCGGTTCCGCATTCGGCGACGCCGCCGGTGCCGGGGAAGAAGTTGCCGTCGTCGTGCCGGTGCATCGAGACGACCAGGACGCGGGGATCGTCGTAGAATATCTCCTGGGTGCCGTTGCCGTGGTGGACGTCCCAATCGAATATGAGTATCTTGTGGACGCGGTGCTCGCGTTGGAGGACGCGCGCCGCGATGGCCACCTGCGAAACGATGCCTATCTCAAAAAGGTACGTTTTACAAGCCGAAGCGGACGGTCGGACGGGGGCGCGTCGGCGTCGGCGTCGCGGCGAGGGTATACTTACGGAATTGAAGTAGCAGAAACCCATGGCCTGTTGGGGTTCGGCGTGGTGGCCGGGCGGGCGGACGATGGCGAAGCCGTTCCTGATGTCGCCGGTCCAGGTGCGGACCGCCAGGTCTACCGTGCAACCGACCGCCATTCGGGCGGCCGGGGCTGTGTAGATGTCGTTCCAGGTCGTGTCCGAATCCACCTGCGATGAAAGCGATTATTTTTAGCACGACCGCTACAAATGGGTGGGTACTGTGTAAGTAGGTATTGTGGGAGTTGCGGTACTATTTTAGGGGATAGATGCTATGTCGAATTTATTGTAAGGTAGAGTGGGGTGAATGTAAAAATGGGGTGAATGTAATATTTAGTTATGTATAGTTTTTATTTTCAATATTTTACTAAAGCAAGTTGGATTAGATCGTAATATTTCAAGGCCCAGAATCTTCCCCTTCACTTTTGGATCATTACTTACGGAGACCACCCTGTATATATACAATCAAAAATGTTTTGCGTAAAAGAATAAACATTTAATAAGGTAGACTGGGGCAAATGTAAAAATGGGGTGAATTTAATATTTTTACCTATTATGTTAATGTTTTTATTATTTATATAGTTCTTTGGAGCATTAGACGGGGTTTGTTTCTTATTTTTTCTTTATTATTTTGTAGCTCTGGTATTTTTTGAAATAAACAAATAAACAGCATATCAAATTTTAGAGGAACCAAATAGTTTTTTTACAATTGCCCCATATGTTTTTCTATATAATTGTATTGCACTTTAGAACTTTAGAATATTGTCAACATTTTAAAAAACATGTAAAATCGTTTTCTTCCTTTTTCAAAAAAAAACTTTTTAATACCTCGATTCTTTAGTTTAGGAAGTTGTGAATTTAATGTGGTATCAGCATTTCTAATAAGAGAAAAAATAAAGCGACATTTTAGGATTTAATTTGAACTATTCAAATTTTACAACCAATTTGCCCCAGTCTACCTTACAGGGTCTTTATGAAATATGTGGTCAAACTTAGGGAGCAAGTAGAGAAGCTCAAAATATGACAAAAACCTAAATGTCATTAAAAAATGAATACTTGTTGATTTTCTGTGAAGAAAACAGTTTTTACAAAAAATTACATTTAAAATTCTGATACACAAATATTATTAAACTATTGTCATCTCTAAAAATCTAGTAGGAATGCATTCTTTTAAAAATTTGACATTTCGATAAAATGACATTTAAGTTTTTGACATATTTTGAGGTTCTCTCTACCTACTTCCAAAGTTTGACTACTTATTTCAGAAACACCCTGTATTTTACAAGCGATTAGTTGTTTGGTGCTTGTTTTAAACTTTTACTGTGATATTCTACCATCTTATAGATCAGGGATCTGTCCTCTGGAGAGGAATCTGGTGGTACTGATAACTCAATAGTTTGATCGATTATGAATGGTATACTAAATAGTATATTAATTGTTTAAAGACACTTTTCATCTTATTTTTAGATGCAGAATCGCTCCTTAAATCTTCCACTCATCATTTATGGACACCACTATACAAATAGTGTTCCTCGTAAGTATTAATAATGTGTAAATAATCGATAATAATACCAATATCTACAAAAGGAAGTGAACAATAGCACACATAAAAAGGTCACCAATTAGTTTTAATTGTCACTTTCGATTATCTAAAAATATCGCCCCATTCCTGAGCGTTGAAATTTTTAAACGTTTCGGACTTTAATTAGGCACTCGTCGAACGAAAATGTATTATATTATTTAACGATTCAAATCGACCGGTCGGTAGTAAAAAATAATTACGGTTATAAACATTCCATTTACTGAAAATAAATGAGTTATCAGCTTAAAATATCAATTACAAACCAGAAGGGTAAAATTAACTGTGGACATCACGAAATACTTAAATAGGCGCAAATGAAGGAATCGATATTATTTTCACTAACGACGCGTGAATGTATTTTCATAAATTCTCGAGTCGTGTGTGTGTGTGTGTTTGTGTGTGTGCTCCACACGTAGATTTCCAGATAGCGCAATTTTATAATTTCTTACTTGCATGAGTGAATATTTCAAGGACTTGTTATCAGTTCCATCGAAATGCTGGCATAATAAGTATCCTTCTGTTCTGCAACGTCCTGATTGTTAGCCTAGCGTTAAAATCGCTGTAGTAATTACGAACTGAAATTATTGAGCGCTTTTATCCCGACGCTAATTTCATAAACTTCTTTGAAACATTATTTTTAATCTAACGAATTTACATTAGGATTCCGAACGAAATGCTTTCTGATAATTAGGTTACTGCTATAGAGAAAAATGATAATTAAACCATTCCGACAATAATTCTCTAGATGTTTATGAAACAGTTATCTAATTTAAAAATTTTTAAACGCTATGTTTAACGACACTGATAAGATAGTGGTTCTTTTTTTTTTCGAATAAATGTCATTATTTTATTTTTAGAAAAACGATAATTGTGTATTTTTAGACGCGCTTTTTTTTTCTACTGCGTAGCCAACCGCAATTTTTTTTAATGAAACCGGTTATAAAACCGAAACGACCAAAGTTTACCAAATAGGATGCTAATAGAAATAGCAGCAAGTGTAATTGGGATTTACTAAGAAATTCATTTTTTCCCGCATTAATTCAGAACTGGTAATGTTTTCATTATACCCACATTTATTCATTATTAAAGACTCTGTAACTTGTTAAAAAAACTGTCCTCAAGCGAAATAGGACTTTAAAAAGGTTTCCAGTATGTGTTTTGGTAAGATACCTGATAAAAAAAGTAGATTAGTACCAGTTGATACATACCCCGATTCCACCGCAGGACAGTCTAACGAAGGCAGTAACCGGTAAGGTGCTCAATTTACTTAAATCCGTCTTATGCCTATTCAACGAACTGGTTCCGTATAACAAAACGTGAGATTCCGAATGGCAAGTCTGTAATTCTTGCGGTGTGGCTTTCCGCGGCCTGAGCCTATCACATCTAGAAAAACAAAACATTTACAACTATTACAACTATCACAAAAAAAAACAACAAGTTCTCTACGAATCCTTTCCGGCGGATCTAAACCTACCTGGACACCAGTCCGGTTTCGAGCAACCTGGACCAAATACTTTGCAATCGCCCGGCGTGCTCCGGATGGATGGCGTTGTTGCCGCATATGCAGGCGTGCTTGAGCATCTGGTTGTCGTAGGCCAGTCCTGTGGTGGGCGCCGACGACGCCCGTCGCCTCGACGCCAGCGTCGGGACTTCCCCGGGCGGGCCCAGGTGCACCACCGGCGAGCTTAGCGCCCTCGACAGCGGTCGAATGCTGCAATATAATCGCGTTACAATCGACAATCCGGGCACATAAAATGCGCCAAAAAAGCACCTACGATATGATAGAATTCAGAATTCAACATTCAACAATCCAGGTACATAAAATGTTGCTAAAAAATCACCTACGATATGATAGAATTCAGAATTCAACATTCAACTATCCAGGTACATAAAATGTTGCTAAAAAATCACCTACGATATGATAGAATTCAGAATTCAACATTCAACTATCCAGGTACATAAAATGTTGCCAAAAAAGCACCTACGATATGGTAGAGTTTAAGGATTATATCATACTAAATCAGTGCAGTTGGTAATTTTCATTTTCATTCGATTGTCGTAGAATTCTTAACAACTGCACTCGTTTAGTACGCTATAACTCCAATTCAGAATAGGTAGATTTGTATTTGGCTATAAATTTCGAACATATGATGCGATATGTATAGAAGCTAAATAAAACGATTGTAGCGGCATGTGTTGAGGATGCCGGGCTGTAGTTACAGCCGATTGTAGCGACGAAAACGAACAAAGCCATAGGAAAAAGCAATTACAGTCGGTTCTAAATTTAAACCGGGATGACCTGTTAGTGTAGTAATTATTACATTCAAAACACAGTTGGTCTATGTCAGATCTACCGTTCCACATTCCGCGGTGGATGTGTTTCGAACGGGAGATAACTTTGTTTTTATAACAAGAATGGATTTCTGTTTCTATTAATAAATGCGGTCGATGGGAGAAATATTTGCATTTTTTTCTTTCGTTATGTAGGTATTTATCGCTCCGACTCCCGAATATTTTAGTGGATAAAATAAACAGTTCGATGGAATTTTGGCAATAGGCCTGTTGTATAGGATTTAATTAGTGTTGGGAAATTATTGTTTCCCGCAAAAATCGTAAGTAAAAAATTATGAAATATTTTTAATAAACCAAATTAAGGATAATAAAATAATCTGCCTCAAATAATGATAGGTTGTACCTACGTAGTTTTTTTTTAAACAAAAATATCGCAATATCGCACGTTAATGTTAAATATAGTACATAGTTGAATTAATATTATTTTTATAATCAATTCTATCGAAAGCACGTGTCCTGCGATTGATTAACGTCCACTCGCGAAGCTCTTTCATTGTCCGGTTATTTATTATTGCCATTAGAAGTTCACACAAGAGTTCAATATTCCACTAGTAATTCCAGTCACTAAACGCTCTGTATTAAAACACACACAGGGTCGTTAAAAATACACCGGCTTTTTAATTCAATCATTGCAGAATAATCCACGCGAAATCACAACATCATAAAAGATAAAAACGTTTCGATATAAAGACGTTTATTACTTAATTATTGCTAACACAATTCGAAATGTCAAATAAATTTAAACTCAAATAACAATGTATACAACGAGGCTAATTCCGCGTTTATGTTATTGTTTGATTAGTTTATTTGTATAGGCTTACGAAATCCCCACGATTGCGTAGAACACTCCATACAAAATATTCATTCGAATTTATTTCATGCACCCAATCGGTCATGTTTGTACCGTAAAATCTGGATAAATTACTGGAAAGGTGGGCATTTGGTGCATAATAAAGGTGAATAGCAAGGTCGTATATCACTTTTTTAGTTTAGAATTTACTGTTGCCAACATCACAGTTTGCAATCCATTACATTTAGATTGTTTGGATAGGCGATGGATAAATTGTTCAGCAATGGAAAATTCTGCATATTAAACAGCTCGATCTCGTCGAACTATTTTTAACTCACCAGCATTGCAAAATAAATAAAAACACGCCGAATTCGACCGGATTAGATTTTCTGCGAATCGGAAATTATGTAGCGTTACCACGGGAATGCGCCCAGCCCGATGGCAGGAGTTTTGTTTTTGTTTTCTCGCTTTTCGCAGCAATTCCCGCGAGGGTTTCCGATTCTATTTTTATAGAACGTAAGGTGGTCGCTTTATACTTTATCGATTCGGGGCTATTTTTAGACAAGCCCGACAAGGACGGGCGAGCCGAGGGATACACCGACGCATGGTTTTAATGTAATGCCTTCCAGTACACGATTGGGCCAATAAATTGGAATAGTGGAATAGTCTTTAATATCATAGGTTCAATTCGAGGAAGGTCACTCGGAAATCCATGGTCAGATTTTCACAAAAACAGAATTTTATAACTCGAACGGTACCTGATGTGCTGTCAAAAACCGTCCAGAAACTCATAAGAATTCATATTTTTTTGAATAATTCAAAGAATGATCCCCAATTTTTTATATTATTTTTGAAACGTCCTGCATACAAAAACAGCTTCACTTGACGTTATTGTAGCGGGCTTAATAAAAAAGTTTTAGGTGACACAAAAATCGATTCCAACCGGCCTTTCTCTCAAACTAATCTCATTTTAAAGTTTTTTTGCAAACATAAAATTGGATGATCCCGATCAAATTTTGACCCTATTTTATCTGTAAACGTCACAAGGGAGTACTTATACAAAACATTTTTTTTTCGATTCATGCACAAAGCATACATTGCGAAATCATTCATAATTTAAGTAAATAATTATAATGAAATCATTAAATTAATTAAACCCTCGACAGTTTAGACTGGCTTCCTTATCTCGTAAGTACAAACATTTACGAATTTACTAACATTATTACAATTTAACACCGAATATACACAATTCTGGAGGACAAACCCAACGATCGAGCATCTCGTTCGAAATTGAATTAATTTTTATTGCTAACGCGATTTTAAAATCGAGGTTTCGATGCCGATGGGATTTAATTTCGAATCGAAACAGCGCAAAAACGAAAGCTAAAACAACAAATGACTCGCAAAAAATGCTTTAATTAAAATAGTAAATATTCCGAAATTCTCATGTAAATTATAGATAAACACACATTTTCGTATAGACTCATAGACCTAGAACTTTCCAAAATAGTTTCAAATGAATTTCCAACTCGATAAAAATTTTCATCAAGGAATATGCATTTTATGTTTTCATGTAATCGGATAAAATAGATGAGAAATACCAATTAAATCCGGCTGAATTCCGCATGGAAATATTCGTTTCATAGAAATAAAATTAATAACGCAGCCGAGAGGAGCAAAGGTTGCGAATTTTTATTTATCGTGTGTCATGGAGTGGCTTAATAATTGAACTTCTAAAAATAAACCGCAAACGCCAGATGCGTACGGAACCGTTTTCCTGCCGCGATCCGCGAAAATCCCGCGCACTCGCCGGTCGTAATGTAATTGAATTTTCGCGGCGGTTTCCACGGCGATTGTAGCGAAAAACGGTCGCGTGTAGGTGGCCGAAATAAATTAAAAACATAATTGATCCTATTTGGAGTCGACTGCTACACATTCGAGATTTATTTTCGTAAATAAATATGTGTCATGCAGGTCTGATGTAACTCGGGGAAAAAATAAGACTTTATTCGAATTGTTATGTTGGGATATACTCGGTAATTGCATCTACTATTGTATACTGGGTGATTCAAGGAATTGGTATTCTCGTATGCAATCAGCTATCGTTGTAATGCAATGATGAATTTATACAGGATGAGTCGTGAGGAATGGTACATCTTTATGGTGGTTATTTCGATTTGGTTCATTTTTTGGTAAAAGTATACATTTTGAACAAGCAACACACTTTACACACTGCCATATTCAGAATTAAAAAATTTCAGGACCGACTTTAAAAAGAGGTAAATATTTCCAAACTTAATATTTCACCTGAGCATCGAAAAATTTTTGCCACACTTTGTTTAAATGGTCAATTAAGCTTGTCCTAAACATAAATTAATTTTTTCAGCACAAAATAAACAAGTTTTCTAGTAATAATACTGTTACAACCAACTTCTTGGAGACCAATCATCATTACCTAAACAACTATTCTCGCCTATCACAAGATAAAAATCGCTCTTAAACAAAAACAAAAAAAAAAACTAACCTCCTGGACTCGTTGGCTCTCAGTTCCAAATCTCTCTGCTCCTGCTCCTCGACGGGCTGGTGCTGGGGGTGCGCCTGCGGCGGCGGCGGCGGCGGCGGCTGCAGGTCGGGCGGCGGCGGCCCGCCCAACAGCGGATGGCCGAGCGGCAGCGGCGACGATTGCGTCCGGCCCAGCGGCCGGATGACGCCGCGCGCCTGCGGCTCCTGCAGCTCGCTGATGGTGTCCAACGGCTGGTCCTCGTGCTCGCTCTCGATCAGCGGCAGCGACGGATAGAAGGGCAACGTGCCCGGCAGCATTTGCCCAGTCAACGGCATACCTGCAGCATAAAAGTCTCGGTTTTAAGGATACCACAGACCAAGGCGAAATTTCCGCTGCCGCTGCGATTCCGCAGCGGAACCGCAGCGGTAGTTTCGCAATAGTAGCGAAAACGCAGCGTTCTATTTTTTAAAGGAATTCCTCAGACCAAAGCGAAACTTTCGCTGCCGCTGCCGCGGCGATTCCGCAGCGGAACCGCAGCGGTAGTTTCGCGATAGTAGCGAAAACGCAGCGTTCTATTTTCGAAACGCTGCTTACGCTGTTTTTTCCGCTGCCGCTGCGGAATTTGGTACCTATGAAAATGGCAGTTGTCGAAAAATTAATCGAGTTTGTGAAAAAGTATCTAATTATTTACGATTTAAGTCATGAAGACCTATTAAAAATTATTCAAATACTACTATTATTATGCTTGCCTATATGTTGCTAATCAACATACTCGTAACAACGTAGTTAATTTTACCTAATTTCTTCCTCTTTAGCTAAACCAAGTAGCAGTAAAACTTCTTCTTCAGACAAACTCATTGAATAAATAATTGTATGAATTGCAAATATTATAATGAATTACACACACGCTCCAATTTGTCACTAAAAATCGCTAACTAATAATCAGAAAATTTCGCAACAGTGTGAATAGTACCAATCCTGTGCCGCAACGCTGGCGGAATTTCCGCTGCGAAACTTTCGCGGCGGAAAAGTTTCGCCTTAGTCTGTGGGATCCTTTATATAGGGAAATTATCGACCGGTTTTTGCTCTGTAGGTTTTTTTGGCGCGGTAAATTGGGCGCTGATATTATATTAAATTATTACCTGACGGCTAAAAAGGGTATTTTAATCGTATAGGTAAATTTGGGGCGAAAATATTTCAGGTAGAAAATGAGATTATTTGAGTTCATTGCAAGCTTTGAAAGAAATTGAAGATGTTTGGAGTTGATTTAAAAAGCTGAGAGAGAATAGAAGATAATAGAATAGAAAAATAAGTAAAGCAGAAGAGAGTAGAGTAGAAGAGAGTACAGTAGAAGAGAGTACAGTAGAATAGAGTAGTATAGAGTAGATATGGGGAGTTAATATTGGTATTTTTTTACCTACAATAAAATTCGAATGAACAACATATTTACTATATGGATAATCTCGTTTTGGGAAGAGAAGGTCAAAAATCACGAAAACTTATCAAAACAAATCGCAAACTAATCCGATGTAAACAATTTTGGGAATTATAATTAGGACAGTTTATTGAAATTGAAATCGTTTAGCAACACCGTAATCAGTTCGGGGGCTTTCGCGGTCGATTCGAGTCCGGTCCTGCGAATGAAAGAAGCTCATTAATGATCGATTTTATTGTGTTATCGACGTGAATAATTTATTCAAGGGCGCCGGAACGAGCGATTGGAAAATGTGCTATATATATATTTCGAATCCTAGTCTCCTAAATCCTTAATGGAGCGAACCTCAAAAAAGGCCCTGCGAGTGTTATTAACGTGTCGTTCCTAGCGCAACGAAAGGCGGCGTGGAAATTTTCGAAAATCCACCTTTCTAACTGGGGAAATTCGTGTGTGTTTAAGCGGAAAACGGAAAGCGATCGTATCGGTTCGGGGAATACGAGCGACCTTGATCGACACGAATTTGTGGTTTTGTATACTCGAATAACTATTGTATTTACTAGAAAATTTGGTAGAAATTTTGTGCACTTAGAGAAGGATATCACGTAAATATTACACAAATTTCAAGCGTAAAGTCATTTTAAATTATTAAATAATTCAGTTGTTGTAAAAGTTCACCAGTAGTGAGTCAAAAAAATAAGTAGAGCATTAAATAAATATACATATTAGTAGCTTCCTGCTGCAATGTACACAAATAATTCATATCCACAAGGATTCTTACATCCTTTTCCTTGAAATCCATGCCAAAATAACCCCATCACTATTCCTGTAAATACCCCAATATACTCACTAGATATACTTCCCATATAATCTACCAAATTTCCCTAAGGTAAGGATAAAACGTTTAGAAACCTCTTTACCTAATCGAGCGGTGCATGCCGCCCTCATGGCCGCCTCCGAGATGTCCGGCGACAGCACGTGGTGGGCGGCGAGCGAGATGTTGGGCATCGATGGGCTGCTGAAGAGCGCGTGCCGCTGGTACTCCTCCGATTCGCAGGGCGGGCTCAGCTCTTTGGGCGGCTCCTGGGGCGGCGACTCGCTGGGCGGCAGGTACGAACTGAGCAGTTTCTTTTTGAGCGTCGGCGGCAGCCGCTTGCTCATCGGGCTGCAGCGGCGCTCCATCACGCGCTGCTTCAGCTTGACTTTGAGCAAGTTCGGCTCAGAAGCTGCATGGTGATGGAAAAGTAATTTAGGATATTTTTATCGATTTGTAGTTGTGTTTGTGTGTAGCATCTACTCACCGGTTTTTCGTAGAGGAAAATCGTTGTTCGTTGTTGAGGATTCTGAGCCGGTGTCCATGCCTTCGGACCTGGAAGAAAAATTGATGGGTGTATTGATTTGAAAATATCATTTAATTTGTAAATCAATTTGGTATATTGTGTTTCTAATAAGCATAAGGTAGACTGGGGCAAATGTAAAAATGGGGTAAATGTAATATTTTTACCTATTATGTTAATGTTTTTTATTATTTTTATAGTTCTTTTGTGCATTAGACGGGGTTTGTTTCTTATTTTTTCTTTATTATTTTGTAGCTCTGTTATTTTTTGAAATAAATAAATAAACAGCATATCAAATTTTAGAGGAACCAAATATTTTTTTACAATTGCCCCATATGTTTTTCTATATTGCACTTTAGAACGGTTTGTTACAGTTACCCCGTACCATGGGGTAAATGTAACATATTGTCAACATTTTAAAAAATATGTAAAATCGTTTTCTTCCTTTTTCAAAAAAAAACTTTTTAATACCTCGATGCTTTAATTAAGGAAGTTGTAAATTTAATGTGGTATCAGCATTTCTAATAAGAGAAAAAATAAAGCCACATTTTTGGATTTAATTTGAACTATTCTAATTTTACAACCGATTTGCCCCAGTCTACCTTAAAAGATATTGAATAAAACGTTAATTATGCATGTATTTGAACATAAATAAATTTATTGTATGTAAAATGTAATTGAAAAATATACTGCTCCACTAAAATTAAGGAAGTTCACAAATATTGAGATTAATTTAAAAGTTGCAGGTTTTTTTGATCGCCAAATTTAGTATGAATTGTAAAGGTAGAGGCAAAAAATCCACTTAGATATGAGAGAAAACATTTAATTTCGCATATTTGAAAATTTGGTGATCAAAAAGTCTGTAACTTTTAAAATAATCGCAAAATTTGCGAACTTCCTTAACTTTTGTGGAGCAGTTTATTTTAAACTAATTCAGATGCATATAGAGATAATTTAGGTATTTCGTGACTACGCCAACGTGAATCATCGATCAATATCGACAAATTTTTAATAAATTCAATACGCACTTCCTAAAAAACTCAATTAATAAATACAGATAAAAAAGCAGATACCAATCAAATTTTCATCGATACCGATCATAACGTAAATGGGACCCTTAACAGCCGATAATCGAGAAAATCTCTTGCATTATAATCGCGCAAAACTCTCCCCGAGCCAGTTCGAACCAGAACATCGAATTAAAATATTCGAAATAAATCGAGTATAATCAGAATAATTCGCTTTCGAGTTACTAGAGCAGAGCGAACGAACCGCCCAAAACGGCGGGGACCGAACCGAACTCGAAGAGAGGAAAAAAAAAACAGTAGGTTTGTAAGTTATGCGGACAACCAGTCTAAATATAAACCGACACCCACAAATATAACGAAAACACGTGGGCCAAGTTGTATGTAAAGCACAGCGAAAAAGTAAGTCAACGGAAAACGCAGAATCTATGTGATGTAATCGATTTTTTCAAAAAAATTTCATCGCTACAGAAATATGAAAAAAAAAAAATAACACCACAAAAAATTCGCTCTACTGCAGCCTTAAATAACGTTCATCGACGCGCCTAAAAATAATCGGATTTATTTTAGGCACCATTTATTTTCGACGGATTTATTTCGGGAAAAATTGTTTGCTGATATTCCGTCGATCGAGAGAGAGAGAGAGAGAGAGAGGATTCAAGTAAAAATAAACAGAAAAGTTGTTTCGCTTTTAAACATTCCTATAGTTTCGAACAGCAATTAACAATTACACATATTCCGAAGAATCTAAACGAATTAAAAACGTTTCCGTCCGGCGCAATTTGTAATTTTCGCAACGGTGTAATTCGTCGAATCGAATTAAGCGAATCACGCCGGTTTAACTCGGATTAATTCGAACGACCGTCCATCGCAAATATTCTGGCCTATAAATAACACTTTTCTCCGGCGATTCGCGAAAAAAAGACCCGCCCGCTAGCGCTACGCAACAAAAGCGCGCGATTTTTTTCCGAGCAACCGATAGATGAATGGGAGCGTACAACCACAAACGCAGGTAGAATGTAGAATAGATGAATTTGTATGCGTAGCGAGTGCGAGGCGGCCGGCGGAATTTGTAATAGGTTTGTACAATAGACCGCTCCACGGAGCAACTGTTTTGAAACAAAAAAAATTGCAAACCAGTTGGTCATGCAACCGTTTTGCAACCCAAACGAAACTGGTTTGCAACCCAAATGAAACTAGTTTGCAACGAGTCAATAAACCCGTTGTATCCGACCTTTTGCCGCGGTCGCAGTCGCTTTGCAGTTTCGAGTCGCTTTAAATTCTTGTCAATTTCTGGTGTGAAACTGGTTACAGACTAAACTAGATTGCAATATTTATTTCAAAACAGTTGCTCCGTGAGCGGTGGGCCTTAGGCCTTAGGTTGACAGTGAAAATAGTTAATAATCCGTATAAAAACAAACCTAGAGTGATTTATTACATCGAAACGAAATATAAAACAAACTCCAAGTTTATATCGATAATGGTGGAGGCGTATAAGCTCCTCCGCCATTTTTTGAAAACCCAATTGCAGTTCATCGGTATTTCGTGACCTAACCCCAGATAAAATAAACACCGATCTAATAAAAGTATTCTTGGGTGATAAGCGATTTTTATGTGCATTTTTATACGCATTAAATTCGGGTCAATTAAGGACCAGACGGGTCACCGGAGAGATCCGATGGAGTACATATAAAACTGTTTTGTCACGATCTCCAATCGATTCCACGAAGGTCGGGTTGAATTAATTCCAATCGATAACGAAAATAATCGAAATAAATAAATAAAACAACGGATTAAACAAATTCCTTTTTGTATGCGGATATTTTTCGTATGAAAAATCATAAATATCCCGGTTATAAGCTTCGGTTGGCTGATAAAATTCGTGTGAATGAGTTTGTGTATTTTTAGTATTTTCTATTTTTGCTCGAGTCCATAAAACATAATAGATCGAAAGTTCCGTTGTTCCCGTTTTATTGCTCCGAACGGTATTTTTAGCGCAGGTTAATTTTACTATCCTCCTGTTTTGTTTATGCAACTCGATTTCATCTAGTTTTTACGCCCACGCTGCTTCGCTTTCTCTTGATTACATGGAAAACCCCTAAACCTGGATACAAACATTTCCTGTTTCCATGATGAAGGCTTTTCCAGAACAACAACCAATATTTTTCAATTACCTATTGCAGAAATTACGAAAAAATGGTTCGGATTGGAAAAATCCTTAATTTCTCATTCACCAATTTTTTTTTTAATTTTGTAGCTTTTTTTTAAAGTATATTGAAATATATCTTGGAAGTATATTTTGGTTGTATGTGTACAAAAATTTCAACTCAATTGAATAATGAGCAACAGACAAATTTTTCATTTTAATAATTAGACATTTTTCCTGATAAAAATTTAACTATTTTTTGATAATACATCGTTAAAATTCTATTCGACAAATCAAAATTCGTGGAACTCTAAAAATCGATGATGCAATATTTAATTATTAGAACGGAATTTTTTTATCGAAATGAAAATTAAAGTAAAACATTCGAAAATTATCAAAGCGAATCTAGAAAATTCACCGCAGGTGAAATGTTGTAAATTTAATCAAGAAATAGTTTTTTCATTATTCATAACTTTTTTATTTGTGTATTTTAGTGTTGGAAAACTAATAATTTTTCAAGGCTTTATTTAAAGTCCATTGAATAAATTTGATAAAAAAAAGAAAAACTAAAGGTAAAACATTGAACCTCATCATATTTATAGAACACATTGTTAAAAATTGAAACTTATTCAATGTATAGTTTCATCAAAAATAGATTTTTTTCAAAAAAATTTCACCAATCCTATTAAAACGATAGGTTGTAGGTAATTCATAGTAAACGGTAAACAAAACCTAAACCATTAACTTACTGTAAGAATGCTAAATTAAATATTGTACTACTTTTACCTTGAAGCATAACTGGAAATTAAGGTACCTTTAGCATTGAAATTAGTCTAATTATTGGCATATCTATAAACGACATAATTTGTGTTTGAAACGAAACGAACACAAAATTACTTATCAGTAGCCGTCGTAGGGCAGAGATTAAAATTAATGTACTTATAAAAAGCTATCAGTTTGACGAATTCTATGATATAACACTTATTTTAAAACAAATAGACAAAAATATTGTATAGTAGCCGAAACTTGAGTCAGTTATGATCATGTGATAATTTTCTAATTATCACCTGGGCACTTAATATTCGAAGTAGATTAAGAAAAAATCGATAAAACCTCTTCAAAATCGAATTCTTTAGGGATTTCACAGTGCTAATTTGCAAAATTCAAAGATTACCGAAATGTTTATAAATTTATATAAATTGTAGTCACAGGGCTATATAAATCAAAAATATACAGAACGCTCCTCGTACAGTAAATTAATTTATTTTACAGGTACATTAAAAAGATATATTTTACTCCTTTTATAGCACTACCAAGCAACTAATATAACGTTTCATTATTAATGAAGCAACAACTGTACGTTGCATACATGAATTATTAATTAATTTTAATTAACTACATTTTATAGAAGTATTATTTACAGTCTCAATACTTGCAAAAAGCGACTAAGATATTTTATTCTTTTTTTTCTTCGACCACAAAGGGATTAGATTTATTAAAATTAATGAAACTAATTAAATAATTGATTAAATTAATGAAAAAAGAGCATATGCAAAAATAAAAGACACAATTCCGTTGTTCGCTTTTAAGATCAAAAGTTCAATTTGTGTCTTAATCTGGATAGTAGCGTTACACAGAAAAAAGATAAGAGTGCATTTGTGTACAATAATTAAATGATTCAATATTTATTGAAATATTTATACGATTACGGATTGTTTATTGTTCGCATTTTCGTTAGCATCAAATCCGCGAATAAATCGATTTAACAAACACAAGATTCCAATTATAAGAAGTCAATTATTGTATGATCGATAAACATCTTTACTTAAATCAATCATTGATGTCGAATACTTATTGATTTCTTTTATTGTTCGGTACATTTTGCGGTATTTTTTCGACTTTATGCGCACGAATCAATTAATTCTCCGTTTCTGTTTTAATAAATTCAAGAACGAATAAGTCCCGATCTCGCCGAGCAAATTACTTATTCAATAACAGCACATTTTCGAACCGATATCGGTACGAATTACATAGGCATTATACCCAAGTAGAATATGCATATAGGTATTTTTTTTAATCCGAAACAATGGCTATTGAAATATGATTTAAATTTTATTCCGTCGTTATTTTTAGTCGACCGTATAACGATTACCTTGTGTCGAAACCGTGTGGATTTTGTTTTTATGAAAGTCAATCGAACGGTTTCTAAAAATAACAACGAATGTCATGATCACTATTACATATTACGAGAGTGATTCTATGTATTTATAAAGGACACCCGTTTTTTTTCTTTTTCAGTGATTTCCTAATTTGATTAGGTAAATTTTATTGCTTACTTACAGCTTGGGGTGGAGGACACTTGGTCGCCGCGGTTAATTTTACCCAAATTTAATCCTTTCTCGATTCGAAAGGTACAGGTCACTTGGTCGCCAATACTGGATTAACGGTTTCTAGGAAGGACTGATAGGGATATCTACATTTTTAAAATTCTCTGGTAAAGTTAGTATTTGAATTTCGTCGTACAAATTAATAAGGATGTTTATGTTAACGATTCGCATATTATTTTATTTTCTTGCGAATCAAATTTGACATATTTGTGCTCTCGTGACACAATTTATTGCGACGGCACATTTGATTATTGTCCCTTATTTTTTTGTGCAATTTTTTACTATACACGCTATTGACAATGGCCATTAGCATATTTTCTCCTACAAAACTGCATTTAAAATATTAAAGGAGTATTGCTGTAACAATTTAAATTTAATTAGGAATCCATCAAAAGTAGTTTGTGGTTTTGAAAAAGCCCTACACTGGCATAAGGCAAATTTGGCCCGACATTTTAGTTATCGGATGCTGATTTCATTTAAAACAGTCATGGTTTCAAAAAATTCAAATTACACATTCATTGCACATTCGGCTTTTTATTTTTAGAGAGTAATGAAGTTGCAGATTGTTTTAGCCAAGATTTAATTCCTATAATGCCAACCGATGAACGATTACTTTCATATACTCTTTATATGATTAATACATAATATTCTAACGACCCTTCTGACTTCCCGCCTTCAATGTGTTGACTTTAGACACAGTGTATACATTTTTTAATACTAATACTTGTTAAATATATTTTAACATTTAAAACTGCATTCTGTTCATATTCTCTGAGCTATCTGTGTAGGTATAGGTAACTAGAAGATCTCAGCCAAAATTATAGACGATTATAAAATCTACAATCTTGTCTAATCCGATTAGAATTATTTTTAATAAGATTTGACCGCGGCGACCAATTAGCCCATTAAATTTTGAAACTGGGGACCAATCGACCTGTAGGATTATGGAACCCCGCTGACAAAAATGACCGTGGGGACCAAGTGACCAACACCGACAGCTTGGAATACAACATGCCCTATATTATGAATGTTAGTAACTTTTAAGTTGGTATTTAACTAATTAAGTTGGTATTAATATAAAAATTCGAACGTAAACAAATAAATGACAACCTGCTCGTTTAATTGTCACAAACACAAGTTTTTTTAATGAATATCATTACGAAACGAGCTACAATTAACGTATTAAAACTTATTACTTAATTCCTTTGTGTCTTAAATAATCTTATCCGTTAGATAATTAAACTAAATTGTTACTCATAGGCTCGCTTTAGTGTGAAGCATATTGGGATTATTAAAAAAAGTTTATTTTCAAAATACAATCGGTAAAAATAAAGCCGATATTTTCGTTTTGCCGCGTTTCACACGCTTTAAAACATAATGTGAAAATTTGTAAATTCGAATATTTTCGACGACAACCGACCGATTTAAAAATAAACGGAATTCAACTGGCTCAATAAAAATAAGTTTTTCGGAATTCCCTATTAATGTTACGAAGAGAAAAGCGCTAATGGAAAAAAATAATTGTCCCGAGAATGGGCACTATAACCTCGATAATTTATTTACGAATCTTCCTATTTGGCTAATAAAATATTTATTCTCAAGGGTACCGATATAAAACAATTATTGTAGTAAAACCAGATAGGTAGGTTGCTTGGTCTATATAAAGAATTTAATTAGATATACATTTTTTTTTATCGAGTCGTTACAGCGAATAAACAGATACAGGTGGAATTGAATAAATAATGCACCTACTAGAAATGCTAAGTATTGGTACTTGTAACCTCGAATTTTTTTAAAAATTTAAAATCGACTTATCGAGCTTGTTTTTTAAATTTATTTATCTCGTATAGAGGTACCTATAAAAAAATTATTCAATTTGACGACTGGACTGCTCTTTAAACTGTCCTATTATTTATCAAGTTTGCACTGGTTTCGAATTGGTAGTTTTGATTTTGATTTTGAAAATGCATAATTCTAAATAATTTTATTAAAATAAAAAATTTTAATATTGCGATTAAAAACGTATCAAACAGGTCTCGAACGTCATTGAACTTTGATCGTAAATCCTAATCAGTATCGATCTAAATAAAAAACTGTTTGAAGAATGAAAATTCTTCCATTCCTCGAATGTCTGCGAATTGAAATTTCCTCGAAATCAAATTTTTAATTTCCTACTCCTGTTTATAATACATTTTACTATTCTATTCTTATATCGAAGATAATGAATGAATCGAGGAGCGAATTCAATTTATAATTTGTAGTTTTATTGCTTTCGTACGGTTCAAACTGAATTATTTGTGCAAATTTTTGATTGACAAGATTATTATAGTGCTTTAAATATACATACAAACATGACTTGGCAATAAACTTTGCATAAAAATCAATCTAATCCCATAAAACTATTATAGTAAGTGTAAATGTAGATAAAAATATACAGTGTGTTCATCTTTCAATTCTAATCATATAACACGTTTTGTATGCGAAAAACGAATAAAAATCTACACGTGCACAATGCACACGGTCAATTCAGCAAATGAACTTTAATTATTATGTAAAACAGACGAAATTCGAGGACCAGGAAAACTAGATAAAGGCGTGTAGGAAATTTAATATCTAGTAGGTATTAGTCGAGCGAAAATGAAAAAAAAGGCGCTGATAAAAGACATACTAGAGTATGTATCCTCTAAGATAACGATTTATAAATATCTTAAAATAGCTGGTTTATTTATAACTCGCGCCTACGTCAGCACTGTTTTTGTAATCAATCGTTCAATTATGAGGTTAAGCTTCACCTTGATGTGTTTCAAATGGGAAAATGTCGGTAACAGAAGAAAGGTGTAAAAATAACATTTTATATAAATACTAGCAAATGCACGCATAACATTTTATTAATTATGTTCGTAGTCGAGTGAATCAGGCATGCAAATAAAAGGCTTCTTAATTATTTCAAGGTGCAATTATACAGTATGTATTACCAACATTCAGTGCGTTTCAAATATTATATTTTTTTTTGCTTTATAAATCAAACTAATTTTTTCATTTTAGTTTCATTTCATTTTGGTTAATTTTGGTTTCATTTTGGTTAATGTTTCAATTATTTTAAGAGGAATAAAGGTATTTAAAAATTTTAGTTTAAATTTAAACGAAAAAATGCTCCCAAACCTCATTAGAAAACAATTCGAAATTTAAGCAATTAGCATATTAATTAATAGACAATTATAATTTCGAACAGACATATTAATTAATAACTAATGTATGTCTTAGAATAAACGAGAATAAAGAGTTGGCTGTGGATATGTAAGAATGACGTTTTAAAATTCCCAGCTATCTTTGACGCAAACACACAAATGTACCAACAACAAACCACAAAATTTCATAATAATTTCAAACAATTTAAATAAAATCGTAGCGAATTAAAAAAGGAACAAATGCAACACGACTATCTATCCTATCCTATAAGTGAATAAGTATAATGTTTACAAACATAACATTGTACGTTCCGTAAGGTTGGCATTAATGGGATTCCACAAAATCAGCTGTTATCTGTTATTCTCGGAAAACCCGAAACCCTGGCCATCTACGACTCGAAAACATACTACTCACCAGCAGGAATTATCGGCCCTGTTCTTGCCGCCTTGCCGCTGTCGCAGGAACGACTGCAGCTTCTGCTTGACTTCGGTGGAGGCGATGGCGCTCTCCTCATGCTTCTCCTTTTTCCGCAGCACTTCCAGCTGCTCGCGTTGCCTGATCTCGCTCAGCTTGAGCAGCTTCTGCCGCTCCCAGAACTGCTCCAGGTGCTGGCGGAGTTGCTGCTCGTGCTGCTCGACCAAGTGCTGTTGCTCCCGTTGGAATTGCTGCAACAGGATCTGGTGCTGGAGTTGTTGTTGTTTCTTTATCAGCAGGATCTGCTGTTCTAATTCACGTTCGGGCGGTTCTCGGTGCTGCTCTGCCATATCCTATTCGACTCTCAAGTACATTGCACTCTGCACGAATCACACACTAGAAAAAAACACTATAAAACAAAAAAAAATACCCTACGAACTCATACCGGTCGCGACTAAACTTGAACTGATTCCGATTAGTTAAATGACTGGAATAGCAGAAATACTTTACAGCGTTGCCGGTTTGAATTCTACAATTTCGTCGTTTACACCTATTTAAACGAATTTAATCGCATAAATCGCTTCTATACGTTCGAATTAATATTAACACAAACTTATTTACTCGTATTTTAAAAGTTTTCTATTGGTTTATTCATTTTTATTTCAATGAGAGATGGTTACTTTTGTTATGTTACAGTTGGCTGCACTGAAACCTCATAAGCACGCTGCGAGAAAAGTTCATTGCGACGTTGTCACGTTGTAATTAAAATAGCAAGATTAAAAGCTATAATGCAACAAATTTATTGAACAAAAATTGGTTTCATTTATTTTTATACAGGGTGATACACACAACATATATTGAAAAGTGATTTAAAAAAAAAGATTGCCATGATCTAAATATTGATTTTTTTTAATGCAGTTTCATTGAACATTTAGAAATATTTAATATTCTTCGAGTTGTGTTTTGTTTATTTTCTTTAATAATTCGCCCAATTCTATTTTACACTCGACAACTGTGTGAGTTTAAGTATCGATATTCATGCCTAATTATAGGATTAAGATGTCATGTAAATATTTCGGGCTAAATATATCGGGGCTCTTCGTAAGACAAAAAACCCCTATGTCAACCGGGAGTTACTTGACTGTAACACTTTTCTAATAATAGTCGAGGATTTTCTCGTGAATAGCTCTCCTTTTAAAATAGAAAATCTATTGTAAGCGATGGTATTAAAATACTGCTTATGTTCTGAAAATAACTTTCGGCTATTTATCAGAATTTTGAATTTTGGATTTTGGAATGGCGGCAAAGTATTACAATATAATTAACAAACATATATTTTCTATGATGAACAGAAATTAATAATTGGTCATATAAACTCAAAAAAAGCTTAATTCATTAATGAATTTACAACGGTTTTCAATTATTTGAACTTAATAAATTAATTGTATAAACATATTACTAAACAAAGTATCGTGCTGTTAACAAAATGCCCATTTAAAGCTTCAAAGGTGGAGTGTTTGACAATTTGAGCTTCTTCAATTCACTCATTACTTTGGCTACATCAAAAGGAATTGGCTATAAAAAATAATTCGGTATTAACAGCTGCGTTTCGGAATAATCCACATTATTTTACAGAAATTCACCTTATTTTCTAACGCAATAACCGCCCTACGGACGTAACTCTGGATGACATCAGTCTGAACTTCAATCAACGTTTTACCCCCAAACGAGTGTCGATTAAAAATTTTCATCCAAGCGTACAAACAATGGATAAACTCCAAGCAAGAATTCTCATCGACCTTCAAAGAGCACTGAGTTTCCAGGAAAATATGCGTGGTATCCAACGCAGCTAACCACGGGTCGCGTTTCATCAACCTCCTCATACATACCAACGACATAACCGACAAATTTTTATCCCTATAGAGGGAAAACAGCTGGAAGAATATCGTCTTGACCGCATTGGGGGATATCTGAATGAACAAATCCGGCAGGGTGAAGACCAGCAGCAAATCCAGACACAACATCATCTTCGCCGTCGAACCGGTCAAACCGCAAGAGAAATCAATCATCATGCAGTCCTCCACAAAGCATTTGTTCCGAACCTGAAGCAATAACCGCTATAAATATCGAAACACGAGAGTAAATCAGCTCCACCACCTGCACGAGTAACAGCGTTCTTACGAAATCCATCAAACTGATAGCCACTTCATCGCTGAACGTCTTCAGCCTCTTCATCGCCCACAAGATGTTCTTGTTCTCGCAGCAGAACAAAGAGACCACCGCGGGGTCCGCCTTGGCGCTGACCACCAATTTCTTGCTGTAATCGCACACCATGCCGAATAGCTGCTGGTCGACGGCGAAGAACAGCATTATCGACATGAATTCGACCAGCTTCAGGGCGGAATCGCGGTCCTCCGGAACGCCCGGCCCTGCTACCATCAATCTATGGAATACCGGCGTGCCGAAAGTGGATGGTAGCAGGTCTGCTATGGTTTCCTTCAAAGGGGGGTCGCTGATTGTTTGAGATAATAAGGCCACCCTAAAATTTTGATTTCAATGATAGTGTACAAGTACTATTACGAGTTATAGTTGGAAGAGTATTTACTTATATCCAATTTCAGCATCTAAGCTTTTATCGGTTAGAATATCGATTAATAAATTCTGCGATTTCGAAATCAAAATGCATTTCTTCAGTATCTCCAGGTCCTCGCTGTACTTAAGCCAGTATTTGATAATGGCAAGTTTCATGACAGGTTTTCCTTTCAGTAATATCCAGTTCAATTGGCTTTTGTGTAAAGTGAATATTTTGTCGATAGTGCCGAGGTGTTTGGACATGATGAACAAAATGTCGTCGCCCAATATTACATTTTCTTCGTTAATATGGTAGGCCAAATGGTAGGGATAGAGGTAAGATATGTTCCTTAAAAGGTTTGAGCTTATGCAAAATCTTTGATAGGAGTACACCAAGTCGCGAATGACGTTCAATATTTCCTCAGACGACCAGATTGTCCTACGATCAATAAATCAACGAATACTAGGAAACAGTTTGCTGGAATCGACATAATGAATAAATCATTACCTGCTGCTGTATGTGTTTAGCATGTAGCAAATCTTTAGGAAGAACTTGTTATCGCAACGGGACCATTCGGTTGGATCGGCCGGCAGGTTTATTAATTGCGTGTAAACGTTGCTCCAACTTTTATCCAACTCGTAGAAAACGACTATATAAGCGAACAATTTGGTAGACTCCTTCCTTAAATTCGGTTTGGTGAAGAACAACAAGATCATGTCCGAGTGTTCGGTTAAATACTTCAAGCTCCTGATGATCAGATCTTGCATGTCAGCGGTGTAAGGAGCTTTGGACATTGTGTCAGCGTACAGGCAATTGATGCTTTCTAAAAGCTTCATCTGCTGAAGCTCGTCGTTGGCGGACTGGAAATTGTATGGTTCAATTTGTGTGGGAATTCGTAGAGGAATGGGGAATATATACCATCAAAACGGACGTGCCGGTTTCTAGCATCCAATTCGCGAAGATTTGGAAGATTCTCGAAGACTTATCGTAACTAAAATGTGAATTTTTTAACGCATCTGTCCAGTCATTGGAAGTATGAATTAATTTTAACTTACTTCTCTCTTATTATTTCGAATAATAAAGTCACTTCGCTGTAAGCCTGGTGTTGGATGTAAACGTCTAAAATCGTCTGGAAATCTGTATGGAACTTGTCGTTCAATGGTTTGTCCAGCGTGAGAATTTCCAAGATAACTGCATTAAATTCGCTAACCAAATTGGAATTGAACAGGTTAAAATCAATACAAGTTGTTAGATTATTGAGTAATAGTTCCCTTTTTCTAATGAAGTAGTTTTTGTTGGTCTCGTTGTTCTTAGACCTGCGAAAAGATGGGTGAATCTTATGGGGAATTTTGAAATCTCAAATGTAATGTATGTACTTTTGCAACAAAATTTTAATTATGCCCAGCAAACTTGACAATATCTCCACAGAACGCTGGTTTGTGTACTTCACCTTCTCCAACATGGGTATGTTTATTACAACGAATCTAACAGCACTTGGTACGGCCATTTGATGATCATAGAACGCGTTGCAAACTATTAATTTCTTTAGGAACAAAATTGTTAATCTGAAATTTTATTAAACTAAAACTTACTATTGTCCAAAAGCACCCAATTGCTCTACAGAATAACTAAATAAAACATTAATACAAGTTACAATGAGAAAAAAATCGAGTGCCCAAAATCTTTACGTACTTAGCTTGCTTGTAGTCCACAATGCTAATGTTAGGTAAACTTCTGTAATCGAAGTTATTCATAATTTCGCAATAATTCATTTCGTCTATTTTATCGACCAAGTGTAATAGCTCGGCCAATTGATTTTTCGCTAAAATAGGAATCGTGGGCGCCATTTTGTCGAAGAACTTTAATTAGAAATATCTGTCAAACCAAGATGTACCTGGCCACAGCCTACTAATAATTGTGCTACAATTCGATTATAAAAAATATATAGATATTCAATATCAATTGATTCATTTTTGCTTTTTATTGAATCGAAATGACGTTGTTTAGCGATTTTTATTCACTCGTATATTGAATAATTAATTACAAATTAAATTCGAACTGTCAAATTTGACATCCAAGGCTGACCTGTTTAATTCGAACGTCAAAAATGAAACCTCATCAATAAAAAAAGTAACCAATTATATTTCGAGAAAATAAGTTTATAAAATCAAATTGACATGTATCCATTCTTTACTACTTAAAATTAACGGAATGTATTATTTATGTTTGAAAAATTCATAATCTAATATAGTCGGTTTAATTTCGACATTATTCTCACTTTTCTGCTTTCTTTCATTATTAGCCACCTGGCCAATTTCGATTATTTTTCCATAAGATGGCACTTCATTCGCAGGTTTTATAGTCGATTCCAACTCTTCGCTCTTCAAGATGTTACCCTCCTCGTCCAAATCGTTTATAGTTATAACTATATTATTATCCGGGACTTTTTGCCCCGTAATCAGATTTCCACCATCAGAAACCGATAAAGACAAGACATACTCTACAAAAAACGAGTTAAAGAGTTTCGAGATAATTGAATGAATGCTCTTGTAAATCATAAATATTCGTTAGAAATATACTGTCATTTAATAGACACCTTTGAGCCTAAATTGACACCCCCGTAAAAATAATTTGCTATAGTTACCTGTTTTGTCGTTCTCGTTGTAATTGAGATTACAAGTAGGTATTTGTTTCGATATGCTATTTTGCATGGATTCGCTTCTGATCATCTCCTGTGTAACTTCCAAGCTTTCGTAACGAACAGTTTCGAGCCTGTAAATCCCGTCTTCTTCTTTTTGATACCTGAAAGAAAGTTGCATGTAGATAAAACGGAAAATGGAACGAAAACGAAAACCTACCGAAACCTGGAGTGTCCCGAGGGGTAGTGGAAATTGTGCCGTTTCATCAAGTGCCTCGTCAAGTACCGTCCTCTTTTCAATTTCTTCTTGCAACAGTGGCATTCGTATATGGCTCCTACCTGTAAATATCATTAGATTTATGCCTATTTTATCGAGATTAATTCGCCTGTACTTACAGAATCGTGCTTTTTCACGTAATGTGTCTCCAAAGCGACTTGCGAGCGACACTGAAAATCGCACACGCAACATGCAAATGGGGCTTCTTTCTTGTGAGTCCTAATGTGAGTGTCTAAATTGCATTTTTCTACGAATCTAAAACCAGTAATTCCAATGCTAAATACAATTTTAGGCAAGTTACAGTGTACTTACGTTTTCTCGCATTCCGGGCACTTGTAGGGTTTGTATTTAATGTGCCTAAAACGAATGTGCTTGGCCAATAGAGAGGGTTTGAGACAAGTCATGTCGCACATGTTGCATTTGTAATGGTTCACGTGCAGTCTCATGTGGTCTCGAAGGAGACGTTCGCTGGGAAACAGCTTCAGGCACCGGGAACATTGGTAGCTTTGTACTGTAATGAATTTAAGTAGAACAGAGTAATAATTCGAAAGGAATAATAATTGATCAATTCGCTTACATTCTAAGGACAATTGCCTCTTTCTGTGATCGCAAAATTTAGTGGTATTAGCAAATAGTCTGCTGCAAGTGGGACAACCCACCATCTTTTCCTTAGTGTGGACTTTCAAATGATCGGCCAGTTTCATTTGTGTTGAATATTTTGTAGCACAACCTGTAAATGATTACGATTATTTTTTTTATTCTGAAGGAAACGTAAATAATTCATATTAGGTTTACCTCTCCAACAACAATCTATAGGCTCCTTATCCGTGGCAGTTGAAGGGTTATTCTTCACGTGGACTCTCATATGATTCAAGAAATCGAACATAGTGTGAGTTATTGACGAGCAGTACTCCCATTCGCATTCATATCCTATAGGTTGTAGTGGAATTAAAGTGTTGTGGGATTCCTTGCAGGGCGGTAATTTATTCCTAGTCGCTATATTATCGCCTAAATTCTTTAATTTCGCGACGTAACCGTGATAACCAACGTGTTGTATTAAGAGGGCTTGGTTGTGCAAACTTTCATCGCAATTCTTCCACTTACAAGACAAATCCTCTAAAATAACACAACAGAACTTTGTTGATTGACATAATTTTATCTGTAATGTGTCTGTAACTACCTAATGGTTCTGTAGAGTGAGTCTTGAGATGGTCGTTATATTTTTCCCAAGAGGTGTAAACTTCGGTGCAATCGTCCCATTTGCATTCTAACGAAAGGGGTTCCTCGGTTAGTTTAATCGGGGGCTTTTTTCTTCTTTTTACCTGAAAATGCATTCAAACAGGATATGAAATTAGAAAAAAAATAAGGATATAATACTTATATCTAACTGTTACATACATTATACAAATTCAATCCATTGAAAATTAAATTTTGATATGGTTTTCTCAAAAGTTCTGGTATAATGTAGAAAAAATTCTATTATATTTTTGATTTTTTGATATTAGTGCTTACAAATAACAATAAGCAAATAAGCCAATGTGCAAAACTGGATTTTATTTAAATTTTTTAAATTTTTATAAAACCGGTAACGCAACTTTAGCCAGAACCTAACCTAACTCACAATACGTACGTGTCAAAGTCAAAGTTCAAAAGTCATAACAAACAACAAGTCACGAGTGACAGTGACACAAAACATATGATCGAGTTTTTGTTTTCGCGAAACATTCGCAAACTCGGCAGTAAAATCGTTTTTCGCATTAACAATTTTCCGCGCATGAAATGCGATACAAGGTGAGATGTTGTCGAGCTTGAAAGAAAAAATCCTAAACGTGACCTTGTTCAACACCGAAGAACAGCAAATCAAGCGGAATCCGGTCAACATCAATGCAGGCGCTGAACTATTGGCGCATTTTCAAAACCAATGGGAGGATTTGCACGAATTGAACGAAAAAAACGCCGCCGAAGCGGCCAAAGCGGCAGGTGAAATCGAAAAGATAACTAAATTCGTCAACGACAACAAAATGAACATAGCTCTCATCAACCACATTTTGTCCAATTCCAATTTAATAAAGAACATCGACAAATGTACGGACACTATTCAAGACTTGTACGGTTTATCGGAGAATTTAGAAAAGCAGCTAGTCGAGTTAGAAGTCCTCATAGACCAAACGAATTTCGAAAAACTCAAAAACAGGCATCGTTACCACTTGGAACAATACGAAAAGAGGAAAGAAGAGTCCTTCGAGAAATACAAGACCGAATTGGAAAAGAAACACCTGAAGAAAGTGGAAGAGTACGAGGCCAGCAAGAAGGCTTTAATGCAAGAGAGACAGCAAGTATTTCAAGATGCCTTTAAAACCGACATAGAAATGTACAAAAATTTAGGAACAGTTCCATCCAAAATCAATTCAAATCAAAACGGGGCTCTGCTAGAAGAAATTCAACTCGACTTTGACCAAAGCGAGTTGGATCAGTTTTTTAACGATGAAGAAAATAAATAATCCAGTATAACTGAACGGAGTATTAAATACTAAGAGATTATATTTTTGTAAATAATCAAATTGTTATGAATTTAGTTTTAAGTCTATTTGAATACCCAAAATTTGATATATTTACTATTTTTGTTGATTAAAATTTTTTCGAATATATCATACTTTTAATCAAACATAGCAAATAACTTACCGGTTCTTTTTCATCATCGATAACTAACTCAGATTCCGATGGAGAAGAATCTTCACCGTTCAATCTAAAATCATATTTTCTCTTCTTACTTCTCTCCCTTTTCACAACATGCTCGAATACGGCCAATCTGCTTTTTCTTTTAACTTTAACTTCTTGTTCTTCCATTTCTCCCCGATAATCAACAGGTCTTCTCAATATAAACTTGCAATTTGAAAATACTCGTAAGGATCGAATGAACTGGCACTATATCGGAAGGATTGTCTTCGTTTTCATGCAATTGCAACCAAGGGAAATCCTAAAATTAACAATTAATAATACCCAGTAATTCCAAATGTTTGTTATATTACCTCATAGTTTGGATCTTGGTTGAATTCCAAGTTGGAATACTCGGAAACTTCGAGTCGTATACTGAAAGTCGAGTCCTCAGTTAAATTATCCAAATAACTTAACGTATTGTGTAGTCTCAAGATAAAATCGCGCATAAATTGTTCACAATTCACCAAAAAAGGATCACTAAAAAACCATAAATATTATTTGAAAAATAAACTTGTGATAATGTAAAAAAAACAAACCTATCTGTCAAATTTTTAACATCAATAATATCGAAAACATATTTCTCTATTAGAGCACCCCCGGAGTGGAAACACACAAACAGCTTCTTGAGTTGGTTCCTCCTCGTGTGGAATGTCACGGCTTTTAATACCTCATTAATGTAATTATTTACATCGGGTTGAATGCATTGGAACACTGGAATGCCGTATTTCCTTCGTCGAGAGAATATCGTATCAGGATACACTTTTCTGGCGTACAAAATGTTGTGAATTAACACCTCAATAAATTCGGAGAGTATATTTGATGACGCTGCAAGTAAAATAGTTAAAGGAAATAATCAGAATGTATTAAAAAATTACCCTGTTTGACTGACATTACACAATGCGTTTTATGACAGTTTTGGCGTTCAAAAAGAATTGACAATCCCGCTAAAAGTTAATTTTGACAGTTGTAAGGGTGTGTTAAGAAATTAGACAGTGAAAATGGGCTGAAAACATCCGACAATTCAGGTCACAATTAAATAATAAGAAGAAGGGGAACAAATAAAAATTGTTTTTCAAATCTTATTTCTATAAAACGTACAAAAAAGCTGGTAGAAAATGCTTATCAGTAATTTGGACATAAATAGTGAAAAAATCGACTAGTGAAATACTAAATACATTAATAAATATTTTAATAAATGAAAAATACCATGTTTTCAAGAAAGCTAATTATTAAGAAAAACTGCATTAATAATAAATTAAACTGACTTTGAAAACGAAATTTCATTCATAACTAATAGGAGCTAGTTACTACTACTCATTACTCGTTAGACTTGGTGGAAACTTATTTCAGTTTTTCCTTATAAATAATTAATTATGATCGTTAAAGTAAATTTTGAATGAATGTAAAACAATCCATACTTTATTGATTTCAGAAATAAAATATGTAAGGTTTTAGGCATTTTTCTTTGAATTGAATCTCTTGCTTCGAATATGGCAGATCCCGCTTCTGTTTGGAAAAGAATTGTTTGGAAGAGAAAGAACTGCCCGACATTTGTAAGATTTTTTAACAATTTCGCACTTTTAGAATTGCACTTTTTTGAATTATAAATAAAAATAATAGCCGAAAATCAAATAAATTAATGATCGTTTCGCTTCTATTTTGGGTTCAAAATATTCACTCGCAAAAACGAAGAATTTACAATCATTTACGCCAACTTCAATTTTGCATTTCATATATTCAATACGTCCTTTTTTAATCCATTAATAAAACAATAACAACAAGCATACAAAAAGAGTTTCGTTCTGTGCCAGTGCATATGCAAAATTTCGACCTTGACATTAATCTGTCAGTCGAGTGACAGTGACATTTGTCATTGAATTTGTTTTGACGTTTATGGTGGTGCACTTATAAAACTAGCTACAACTAATTTTCAATTAGCTAGTGCGTTTGGTCTTGAATATACGTGTTACACCAGATAAAAAATTATGCGTTATTAGCTGTAAATACTCTACTAATAATCTACACAAGCATTTATACCGAAAACTTGCATAGGAGACAATAATGGCAGATACTCTAGTGCTAGATTGGCTCGACGAATTTGAGTCTTTAACCGAAAGCGAAATACACACGTATGCGAACGAGCAACAGCATAATCATGAAGTCATGATAGCCCTTTACAACGTTTTGGCCGAACCGCAAAAATACAAATCCGATAACGTAAGTAATATTCTAGCAATTTCCATAAAAACCTTGTACCTTAGCACTGTACATTGTTTCTCATCAAGGTTTCCGTTTTAGCTAATCGATGGAATTTGCCAGCAATTGCTAAACTTCTACAGGTCCGGCGAAATTTATCTAAAAAGGTTCGCCGTCCAATTCATTCCATCGCTAGTGTTCCTGCACCTCTCCGACAAATCCTATTCAGCCATTCAAACGCTACTAGTGAGCTTGTACAACCTGGAGGTACGTTCAACGCGCGCGATATTCTCACAGCTTCTTGTAGTAAATCCGTTTTAATGCAGGTTATTGATGCTAAAGGTCAACCTCGTACTCTCTCGTTTAGAATCCCGAGCATCGCTCAATCTTCGATCTTCCACGATTCCAGTATTCTCGAGCCGGCCTTCATAGCGGAAAATTCCCTGCGAAGGTGGGAAGAATGCAATACGAAATTGGTCAGTTGGGGACCTTTGTCGCAGGTCGAATGCCTCAATGCTCAGAACCGACAGAGAGTATCCACGGCCCTCATCTTCCTCTACAATCAGCAAATCGCCAATGTAATCTTACAAGGATTAGAACAGACCTGTAAAGGAATATCCAGGTACATTGTTTTATTCTACAGCATTAGTTACTATAAATGTCTATTGTTCTTTTTTTGTTATGTATTTTGTAGATTAGTTACGCAAGGTTTTAATACGAATTCAGATAGCAATAGAAGTTCGTTAAGCGATAGCAGTATACAGAATGTCCTCAGTCCAAGGATATCTGTATCGAGTACTCTTTTAATTGAATTACTGCATATCGTTTACCATGGAGCTGAAAGATGCGCAACTGGGGCAGTTCAAGCCCTTGACGATATAATCCATAGGGCTAAATACGAATCTTTTGCAGGTAATTTCGAATAAATCTCGAGTCTGTTAAGTCTCTCTATGCATTATGATTTAATCGATTTTTAGATGTACTACTGGCTGGTAACGCTATCAGAAGTTTGCTTCAACATTCTTCTACGGCGAGTTGCATTGCACCGAGGCCTTCGCACGCTCACAGCATATCGAAATCGATGATAACGAATGCATCGTTTAGAACGAAGAAACTTCCCGGTGAGTTGTTACTTGTGGTTTTTAAACGTCTACCGGCACATACACAAGCGAGTTGGAAAAGTGACATTGAAAAATATATACTCAGCTTTTTTCTTATACGAATTTTTAGCTACTTGGGCTCCTTGAGGCTGTTTGATATTAGCATTCGTGTAAAAAGGACTCGGTTGCATTTTGCGAAGTTGATTCGGAAGGTAAATTTGAAAGTGTTCCATAATTTTTCAATTCAATTATGCAAATTATTTAAAAAAATTGTGCTATATTTTTGTTGGCTATTCTACTAATTGTACTTTATTTCTGTTTACTAAAAATTATGGAGCACTTGGTGTTATTCGGCCACTTTTTATAACGCTTAGAAAAACCGATTTAATTTGTCTAAATAATTTTAGCCTGTTGAGAACGATAAAATCGAAGATTTTGATGAAATAGTCATTTTTATTCATGCTAATTGTCACCCTGTCCCCAACCCGAACAAGCTGAGTAAGTTATTTTTTCAATAGTCTCGACACGCTAACTCCCACCACACGATTCCTCCTCATTTAAACTATACCGATAAAGTTATCTGATCGTTATTAAATTTTAATTTTCTCGCAGACGACATTCCCATTCAAGACCCGAACCAGCCGATGGCCGCCGAGGCGGCGCTGGACTCGATCACCGAAGAGCAGGAGGACATGGAGAAGGTGAAGACCAAAAGCTCCGTCAGTGCCTTGAAACATTTGCCGAAGATACCCGGAATCGGTAAGAAACACAAGGCGAAAAACAACCCGCAGGGCGATCACACGACGGAAATGGCCGCCATTGGCGCGGAAATGGCCAACGATGTGTTAACCGATAGCAACCACACGGTGCACGTTAGCGCCGTTTGAACGGACGAGAAACGTTAGGAATTTTAATGTAATGCACGATTGGGATGTTTCCGATGTTCTGGGGAATTGTGCTGTATAAAGGACATTCCCGCTCGCTAGGCAATGACGTCACGAGCCGACGTGTTGCGACGTTGCCGGGTTGAAATGAAAATCTTGATGTGACAGATATGTTTAATTTAAAGGTTATGTTAACTTTCATTGTTTAGAAATTAAAAAGAAGAAATGCATTAGGTTGGAATCCGATTGACGGGAGAGGTGTTTATTTGCAACGATTCAAAACCTTATAAAAGAGAAATATACATTTAAAAACTATTCGTAAGTTTAATATAACCTATAAATTTCAATTTGCTGAACTATCGAAAATATTGATCGGGAATTAATCGGGAAAATGGGCCTACATCGTCCCGTTCCCTCCCAAAATAAATCGCCTTCGACTTTCAACTAGGCATCATCAAATTCCCCTAGTCAAATGGGAGAATTAACATTAACAATAGGGAAATATTGAACTGCTTGGAAATTAATGACGTCGTCTAAAAATGACGTCATTGCCTAGCGAGCGCGAATGTCCTTTAGTTGAATTATGCGGAAGTTATTGAAGTATCCTGTGCAACATTGTTCAATCTGAATCGGGTGTTCTCGGACTGAACAATGTTGTACTGGATAGTTGCAGGAACATTTCAAGACTTGCCTGTCACCAATAACATTGTGTAGAAGTTATGCGTGATTTAATTAGAGCGAAATTTCCAGAGCTTCGGGAACATCCCTCGTAGTTCTCGAGAATAATGAGGATGGTATTGCAGAAAATGAGGTGTGTTAGTTGTGATTCGCATACTTTATGCAGGGCATTTGAGGTACAAAATAATTCGTAACAAGGCAAATATAGTGATAAAAGAGAGATTGTGTAAGAGTAATCAGAACTACCACCTGATCTTCTGCAATGTATCACATCTCTATTCGTTGCATTAAAAACCGGTATTTATCTTCCTATTAAGTTCGTTTATAACTTTTGATGTTGGTAATACCTAAGGCATATTATGAGTTATTTTAATTTTAAAGATGAAGCTACAAAATGCCGGTTTTTAATTTGCTTATTTCGATTAGAAGAAATTACGATTGTTTAAAGTTTATACACTTCAGGAATGTTGTATAGGTTTATAATAGCGAAATCATTTATCACTTTTTCTAGAATATATATGTTTGTTTCAGAAAGTTTGTGATTTGTGTTTGTGGGAAATCTTCGACAATAAACAATCCAATCAAATAGTGCACCTTGTTGTATTTTCTTCTAATTCGAGATAATTTAATATCGTAGGATAACACTTAATCATCACTTATTTTTTCTACGAATGTATACTCTATCAAAACGTTATGATAACAGATAGATTTTCCAATTAATCAATTTACATCTAAACAAAATGGTATATTTTGTCTTTTTGATAAAAATTATTACATAAGACTTCACGTTAATTTTGCTTCCATTCATATACGTAAAAAAAGATAATTATTATTTTCGTAAATTATTGCTCTCTATTTAATTCTGTACGTTAGAAATTAAATCTTACGGCGTTTTTTTTGATATCTGTGTCCTATCCCGGATGTTTATGAAGTAAATATTAAGCAACAAGACAAAATATGATAAAGTAAAAGCAATACATTTATTCTAATTTAACGTCGTTTAACTATTGTGATATGTCGAGTTAATTAATTTTAAAAGTTCCTTGAATTGGTAACTTAAAAAAGAGTTGCTAATTCAATGTTGGTATTATATTAGGTTTATTCCTAGGGTGATTAAAAATGCAAGGAATGTTTCATTATTGTTTGCCGAACTTTAACATTATTTTAACACCCTGGATTTAAAACATTTTTTTTTTTAATCACCTTTGATTTTGTTTGTACGCAGATCCATTTTTGTATTTAATTGCCTAGATATCTAAGTGTACAATTCAAACCAATAGCCTAATGATAAAGGAATCTAATAAAAGAAGGTGCCACTGTAAATAAGATAAAAAATTTTAGAATCTTTTAAATTTAAACTTATTTTGGCATGCATAAAAATATACAATTATTGAATTACATATTTGTGTTCACGAGTAATGAGTATTAAATAGTCCGAATAGATTTTAGCGGAATTTGTGTAGATTGTAAATTTTAAAACTATTTGTTTCCGTTCAAACTTGCAATACCTAATCGAAATGGTGACTATATTATAATAATATATTCTAAAAAAATGGTAATTTAAATATATCACGGGTGTTTGTATTTTTTAATATTTATTGATGTTGTATTTTTTTATATTTATTTTTTGAATAGGGTAATAGGATAATTGAGAAATTTTCGAAAAGTAATACAAAAAAATCGAAATCTTTATTTCACACCTTCATCGTTCGCGTATAAGACTTATCGAGAATTGATATTGTAAAGGCGAAATATTTCTTGATGTTTGTTATTTAATATTCTCTATCAGTGTTTTAGCCAGGTTATGGACGAGATCTGTTGTATCGTTGAATAAAACATCCTTTGAACGAGTTTAGTCTTACATCCACCTCTCCTTCCTCTAACTAAAAAAATAAAACACAAATTATATTAACAAAATCGTATTAATTTATTGAAATTTAATGTCAGAAAGTACCTTCAAATATACGGTGTGTCCCAATGAAAAGTAGCCCTTTTAGTAGACACAAAAATTTTGTATCGCCTCTACAGGGTGCTTCATAAAAATCCCCTAGTTTAAATTCACATTAACCAAATTTTATGAAATAGGACATCTACTTTTGTAGAATAACATATACAATAAAAGAGGAGATTTTGATAAAACACACTGTATTGGTAATGCATAATTTCTGTATCACTGTAACAAAACTTAAAATAAAACATATTTGAGAAAACCGCCACATTTTATGATTAAGCATTTAAAAATTCTATGCTTCTTAAAGGGGCTACTTTTGATTGGGACACCCTGTATTAGTGATATATATTTCAAATAATAATCACAGTAGATGAGAAAACGGGAATTGTGGAAACTACTCTACTTGTAAATCGAGTTCTCTACAGAAATGAGCAGATTAATAATAAACTTCTCAAGTAAAGCACTGCACTATTTTAAATTAGCCGATTCGAGCGTTTAACTGCAGGTGCAATTTCCACAAATCATCCACTATGCACCTTTACCTGTATGTAAACAATCAACTGTTTATACAGTATGTCCCCAATTTTTACTAGCAAAATATCACCCGCTAGTAAAACATCATAAAGTAGTGTTACAAAAATGTCAACAACCAATCGCACTTACTAAATCCTGCAAGTAAATTTCCTTGTAACAAGAAGGCGACACGCATTGTCGCACGCACAGGACTTTGGAGACTCCGGCCTTCCCGTAACAGCCCCTCTGACAAGCCGCCTCCACTTCCCTGAACATCACATCCTGCAAACAATTCAACGCATGAAAAAACCGCACAAATCGCCCCCGCAGGACTCACGTTCTTGCCGGTCTCCTTGTACTGGAACTCGGGAAACGTGTAAGCCACCTTGGAGAGGGCGCCGCCGTGCAGCGAGACCAGCAGGACGGCCAGGAGGATGCAAGACGTCTTCATTGGAAACTCGAAACGCGTCGCGGCGAGTGCGCAATCGCAGGAGTCGGAGCAGGAAGGGCCCCGAGGGACCGGTCGTAAATCAATAGCGGCGGAAAAATGGAAGTCGCGGGGGGGATCTTATTGCGGCTCGGTCGGGAGTCGGGAGTCGGGAGGCTGGGACTGCTCCAGGTTGTTATACTGTTGGATTGTGTAGGTAAATCGATTTTTTCCTGCTCGCAGGGCATTCTGTGCTTGTGTATTTACTAGTACAAGTGTGTAAAAGTAGTCTAAATTGGAATCTCTTTTAGGTATAGTAGAGGTTTAGAAGGAGTCGGGGGGTACATATCTTGAATATGAATATGAATAATTACTCAATTTTATTGTAAATAAAAAAAACGTTTTTTGTGTTTTATGATCCAGATAACTATCTACAACTCTGTGTACAATTCAAATCAATAACCTAATTATAGAGAAATCTAATAAAAAAGGTGCAATTTTTTTGAATCTTTTAAATTTATCTAATTTTGGCTGCATAAAAATATACAATCATTGAATTACATATTTGTTTTCACGAGTAATGAGTATTAAATGAGGATTAAACATAGTTCGAATATATTTTAGCAGATTTTGTGTAGACTGTAAATTGTAAAACTAATTTTTCTAATTTCGATTTATTAATCGTCTACTTTAAAATCTTCTATAAATATAGCAGATTTAAGGAGTACAAGAAGATGCAACAAATTCTACCTAATAAGCCTCAATAATAGCAAATTTTTAATTAATTACCCAATTTTATTGCAAATAAAATCGTTTTCTCCTCTCCATTTTATTTAACACAAACACCAAATAATCAAGTAGCTTCTGTCTTAGGGGTGAATGCCCTCTGTCAATAACTATTCAGCTAATACGCATATAAGTACAAAATTGTTTACACTATGGTCTCTATGAGTTGAACGAAGAAAGATTATTATAATATAACGGTGGTTAGAGTAAGAAAATTGCAATCCCACAATGTCACAAAAAAACACCAACCGATCAAGAAGCCTCTTCAAACAAATCCAAGATGCGTAATTTCGGATCCTCTTTGTCTTACTAACGCTACGTCTTCATTTGAATTAGAGAGAGACGAACGCTGATCCAGACAGTTTTTTTTCGCACGTCTAGACTAGACCGCAGACTGAATTTTTTTCTAAATATTTTTTAAAAGGCTCGTAAAAAAGTTTGGTGATATTCGAAATGCTGCAGGGGAAATCGAACGCTTCCTGCGATAGGTATCGCGCGATCATGAACGCGGAATTGACGTCCGAATGGGACCATTTGAACTTGAAGATATGGGTGAGAGATTAATTTTTTTTATTACAAGTTTTTTAACAAGATGGCGATCGCCGTCGGAAAATTTTTCAACGAGTTATTTTTTAAAAGTTACAAACACTCGGTGCAATAAATTTACAAATATACAAGATTTTCTATTGCGTATGGAAAATAATTCGATAAAATGATTAGGTATTCATCCTGTTTTTCTTTATGGTTTTCGAGCAATATTGTTGTTTGATATATCTCACCGCATTTCTTGATTAGGCTATTCAGGCGGAAAAATAAATTTAACTGGCTGAGAAACTGGTTAAGAGCACAAGGAAGTTTTCGCATCTGTAGGTCATTTTACTTCCTCTTATTATTCTTCATCTCAAACTTCCTGCATAAATTTAAATTATTATAGAGTTCAAATTTATCTTGCAGGGCCAATTCTTTTCTCTTCGTTCTTTTTATCGTTTGCTCGCTCTCTACTTTTTATTGGTTTACTAATTCATGGGTAAACATTTCCTGAAGATCTTTCAGAGAGAGAATTACTATTAGTTCCAGTTTATTTTCGGAATAAAACCAATCACCTACTTATCCTAAGAATAATAAAATTTTGATAAAGTTTTCAGCAAGGTTGTATGTGCTTGTTACCTACCGTAATGGGTTTTGTTACACCCGGGTTTAGGTAGTCTCTTCATCGACTCTGCCTTCGGTTTGATAACGGCCGTCGGTCAACTGGTCTCATTCTTCCACACGAAATAATTCGTTAATTCAAACTATATAGCCGATTTAACTGCGTTTATTAGAAGAGTACGATGTGTAATGTATTTATAAATGTTTAATCGATCGTGATAAGGTAAATTTCGCTATGAAAAAGCATGGTAAAGGCGCTGATTTACAAAAGTGAGACCAGTTTACTGTGACCCAACGGTGTCTCCACCTCTCTTGTGCGCTTGGGATCCGTCGGACCGTCGTTCATTGATCGACCCCACCATTAACTTACACCGTTGCCACGTCTACAAACTGTTTTGCAACAGCAACAGATTCCTTTCAAATTTGCATATTAACCGACAAAATTTCTGCACTCGCAAAAGGACATTGTTTAGTACTATCTACTGTGGAACTACCAACTAAAAATTGCGGGAAATTCGCGCTTGGATTGAGGGAAATTATGAGAGGAGCGAAAGTTTCCAAACAATGGGTTTGGATGGGGAAGATTCTGTGTTGGGGAAAAATAGGGAGAATGTTCGGTTAAGGATAGTATAAGGCATGGAACTTGGGCGAAAGAAAAGTACTGTAAAGTACTTTGCTATTAGAAAATACCTATAGAAATAGAGCCTTGCAGATAAATCAAATACTAATTGATGATTCATTGATGGATTGATGGAATAATTGAGAGGTTTTGATAATGGTGTAGTAATCAAATGCAAGTAAATGTTCTGAATTAAACAGGATCAAAATGCACTATGCCCACACAGCATCAAATCTCTCAGTACCATCTCAATCAGATCACATATTGATCACAATATCTCAGAAATTTCTGAAATGTCTCCGAGACATTTAAAAAAATTGAAAGCTTGGTAACATATATATTGGTGAATAGTGATATGTCTGAGATGTATCTGAGATAGTTACAGCTTTATCAATTGCTTGATGGTAATATTTTCACATATTTTTTTTCTTAATTTTTTGGGATGATCTGCTAAGCTATTGTACTATTTAGCTATTGTACACGAGCCCACAGCCAACGTGGCACGTTCTGATTGGTTCTTGGTTCTTATAACACTTTACGGTGCTGTATATATCATTGCTTAAAGGGCATTCCATATACTTGCGAATTACGAATTGCGAATTGCGAATAGTTTTCTGATTGGTCAGTTTAGAAAAAGACATAAATGCAGATGCCTGCATTTTGTTTTTGTTTCCCTGCTTTCCGCGGTACCAAAATTATATCGATTAATCGATTATAAGAATTAAATCGGTAATATGTAGATTCGAAATAATTAATACTTGTATAATAACAGAGTATTCTCTAGAACAAATAATAAAAGCAAATATGACAAAAATCCTAATGTAAAGTTGATTTTAGGCATTCTTTTTATAATTTAAACGTACTAAAATCGAATTCTGTCACTTATCGAATCGAATGATTAACAATCGAAAATGTCACAATCGTTAAAATAAAGAATTAGAGCGAAAACGATCAACTAACCTCACTTTTTGGTTTGCAATGTGCAATGTCTTTCGGTTACACGGTTTTTTTTGAGTAAGCATCTTTTAAATTTAATACTTAATAGTTGGATTATTAATTTCCTTTATTTTATATTTATTATTTATTCCTTTCTTTATGAATTAAACATGCCTAAATCTAAATCAGTTAGTACAGTAAGTAAGAGGCATTTGCGGCGCCTTGTCCAAAGAAATTTAATTGAAGTTAATAAGAATAAGCCTGAAAAACAAATAACCAACACTTTTCAAGAAGTTAATAACTTTGAAACACAGAAACCTGTTCCTGTTAATAATTTTATTGAATCAAGTGATGATGAATGTAATTCTCAAGAAAGTATCGAAGTGACACATTTTTCTCCTCCTAAGCCCAGTTTATTAACACTAAGTGAATCTTCAGAACCTTCAGAAAATTGTGATCATAATATTGTGATGACCAACTCCAGTATTACTACAGATTTCAGGTTAGAAGCTGAAAATATAAGATCTAGTTTAGCTAACTGGGCAATCTCACATAATATTTCTCATGTTTCACTTAATAGTTTATTGAATATTTTACATAATCACAATTGTTTTTCTAACCTTCCACTGGATAGTAGAACACTACTTCATACAGCAAAAACGTGTGTGCTTAAAACTGTATGTCCAGGAGAATATGTTCATTTTGGCTTGAAAAGAATTTTACAAATAATGATAAATGAAAACATTGAAATAGTTGAATTATTGATAAATATCGACGGTTTGCCTATTGGTAAATCGTCTACCAATTCTTTATGGCCAATATTAGGAAATATTTCAGGGTTTTCAAATGTTTTTATAATAGGTGTTTATTTTGGTCCTCAAAAACCACAAGATGTCAATGAATTTTTATCAAATTTTGTCGAAGATTGTACAGATTTAATAAATAATGGTTTATGCATAAATAATAAAATAATTCCTTTTATTCTAAAAGGTATAGTATGTGATGCACCAGCAAAGTCTTTTGTATTAGGCGTTAAAGGGCATTCTGGCTATTCAAGCTGCACAAAATGTTTGATAAATGGTGATTTTTTAAATAACCGAGTTTGTTTTCCTGGCAGTACATGTGGTAAAAGAACAGATGAAAGCTTTAGAGCCCAAAGTGACGAAGAATACCATATTCGTGAAACAATTTTAAAACAAATTCCTAATTTTGACTTAGTAAAAGGAGTTCCACTGGATTATATGCACCTTTTATGTCTTGGTATAACTAAAAGACTTCTGCTCCTATGGACCGGGGGTGATTTATCTGTCAGATTACCCAGTTCTAAAATTAAATCTATATCACAAAGAATTACAAGCTTAAAGCATTATATACCCAAAGAATTTGTTAGAAGACCCCGTTCATTGGATTACTTAAAATTATTTAAAGCAACAGAGTTTCGAATGTTACTGCTTTATATAGGGCCAATTTGTTTTTCCGGCATTTTAAGAAGAAAAGTTTATGAAAATTTTCTTACACTACATGTTGCAATTAGAATGCTTTGTATTCAAAATGAATGTGAAACCATTGAATATGCTAATAAATTACTGCACATCTTTGTTTCGACATATGAAAAAATTTACAAAAAATACAATGTTTCCCATAATGTTCATAACCTGTTACATCTTGCTGAAGATGTAAAACAATTTGGAGTATTGGATAATTTCAGCGCTTTCAAATTTGAAAACTATATGTCATCGATAAAGAAATTACTGAGAAAATCTGAAAGACCACTTCAACAATTATTTTTTAGAACTACTGAAATAGAAGCCTTAGGTACACAAACATGGAAGCTTTTGCCAAAAAACAAAAATCTAAAATTTTTCATGGTTGATAAAACATTGCATACTCGTGGTCCCCTCATTGAAGGATGTTCAAATCCTCAATATCATTCAATACAAAATGATCAATTCATATTAAAAGCTTTTTCTGTTTCTGATAATTGTTTTTTGGGCAAAAATGGCAATATTGTAGTGTTAGAAAACATTGCCTATTCGTTTGAAGCACAGTCTATGTTACTAATAGGTAGAGAATTCGTAAAGAAAGAAAATTTATTTCACAAACCCTGTGATTCATCTAAACTTGATATTTATGTAGTTTCACACTTATCCGCGCTCAAAACTTGGCCGTTAACTGAAGTTAGGTGCAAATATATGAAATTGCCCTTTGAAGCTAATACATTTGTTGTTATTCCCTTACTCCATAGTGAGGTAAGTATTTTTTTAAATTATGGCAACAATAGAAAATAATAATTTTGTTCCATTTTAAACACTTAGAGTTCAAAATGAATAAGAAGTACTGCGTAGTTGAGTTTGATGATGGCCTGCAACTTATTCCAAGACTTTGGATCAACAGCGACAATGAAGCTTTCTGGCCGAATTTTAAAACTACAGCTAAATACAACGCTGCCGTTAAAAATTCAATAAAACCTGGCATAGATTGGCAAAAATGTCAAATTTTAAGAATTTTATATTCTACAGGTGAGAAAATGATTACTTTCCCTAAAGATGTTAGACTATATTTATTCTAAAATGTTATATATTTCCAGATAATTATGAGTATGGATTAAAAAAAGTGAAAGAAGCTGAAGATGAGAGTGACATTTGTACAACAGATCCAGAAGAAGAAAAGAAAAAAAGAAAGTACAAGGCGACAAAAAAATTATCCAGCTCCGAAGATGAAATGGATACAACAATTGTACAAAAAAGGCAAATAAAACATCGCGAAACAAGATATTCTTTATCAGACGATGAAGATGAAGATACTGCATATCCAACGTTTCCAACTGACAAAACAGGTGAGTGCTTTTCGTACTTTTTGAGTACTGTACTTTTCTTAACTACGTTTTAATAGAAAACTTAATTTCAAATGGATCAATTATTTTAGTTAATTGTACGCCTGCAAAAGATACACGAATGGAAGTTCCCTCCCAACTAACAATAAGTAAGTAAATTTGTAAATAAGAGTATTTACATAAATCAATTTTTGTGTAATTTTTAGCCTTCCAGGAGGACTGCATGAAATTATTACAAAACGTCCAGAGAAAAGTAGTGGCAGTGTCCCTGATGCAACAGGAAATATTGGATAGGTTGAATTCGCTCGAACTAGGAGTTGTTGAAAGGGAAAAAGATTTACCAAATGATGATCCGTGCAGAGAAATTTTTGAAAGTGTGTTCCCTGTAAACACCATTGAAGAAATGGAACGTATCAACAACATGTTAAAAACTAATGATAATTTACGAAAATATGTTGTAAGTATAAAAATTACTTATCTAAAGATTTTATAATGATTTATATATTCATTTTAGTTTCAACGAAGTCGTCTTCTGTTGGGGAAGGATACAAAAACTTCAATTGTAAATATTCTTCGAGCTTTCTTAACAAATTCTTGTGCGGCATGTTACAGTTGGGTTGGAGCAAAGAAGAAGAATATGTTTTGTGAATTAGAGCTGGTCAAAATTATAAAAGGTAGTTACTCAAGTGAAACAAAAGTTGTTTAAGAAAAAAATAATAGAATACAATTTTCGTTACATCGAGTTTTCATTCACAATTTCACTGTAAAATGTTTTTCTAATACTTGAATTTTATTTTTCAGATTCAATTCGCAGTCAAAAAGGTAAAGAACTAACTTCAGACTATGAAATATCGGAAGTTATAAAGAACTGGCTAAGACTGGCAACATTAAGGAAGGACCGGGAAAGAGAAAAACAAGAGCGAGCAAGAACAGAATGATGTAATTTAATAAGATTTGAAAAAATAAAGTACTTTCTTAGTATTCTGGTTATGTCTCAATAATATTTAAAATAATATCTCAGATGCACTAAGTATATAAGCTGCGAGATATCTTTGAGATATTTTTAAACGGTTCTGAGATATCTCAATAACACGTCTTTGAGATGTTTACAAGGCGGACATAAAGATATCTCAAAGATATCCCGATTATATCTCAAAAATATTTCTGAAGATCTCAGAGATATACTATGTCTCATTATTGACGTCCCTGATATATCCTAGAGTCGTAAATTTGCTGTGTGGGTGGTGTTAATGGGTTAGATTGAGTTAGGAACCTAAATTACAGTGGCGTAGATTTTAGAGCTATTTGAAATTTACATTAGCTTGCCTAGTTAGAATAATGTTTTATTTCATTATAACAACATGACTTTTCGGTACCCCAGGGTCAGGTGAAGTCGATATGTCATCTGTCAACAATGTCAAGATTGTTTACAGATGACATTTATTCGCATACACAACAAATACAACCCTCTTTAGTCTCAAAAACAACCCAATAAAGAACCGTCTTCCTCTCATGACTTCGAACCAGATTTCACCATAGTCGAGGAAAATCCCCGACGACCGGCAACCGCGCCCGCCGTACCTACGGCTAAACACGCTCTCGTGCTTCCCTCCTCCTTTCTGCGTTGCGTGTCCGCTCCACAGTCGCAACCGAATCGCCAGGGTAGTTCGATTTCGAGTCAAAAAAGCTCCTCGCTCGCCGCCGTTTCGGGCGTTGTTCTTGCAGAAATCGCGCCAGTGCACCCGTCTCGACGCCGCCATTCCGCTTCGGTCTTGATGTCGCCCCAGTGAACCCGGTGCCAATTCCGACGACAGCGCCGAGCGGCGATTATTCTCTCTCCCGTCCGGCCGTTCCGCGAAATCCGTCAAGCTGTGGGGCGCCGGCGCTTTTTTCCTTCCCCATCAGGGGATGTACTACCCGGTAAGTCTTAAGTCGGCCGAGTACCCGGTACTCGATCGGTGCGGCGTCTGGCGAGCGCGCTGCCATGGCAACGCGCGGTTTCCTCCGCCAGAAATTTGGCGTTTCTGTCGGATGTTTGCAGCGCTCGGAAGCTGCGTCTCGCTCGCTCGCTGTGTTGTTTTGTTTTTTTATTCTCTTCGGGGCCCGACCAGATGTGTGTTCAGGGGCGTACCGCGCTGGGTTTTTCGTACTCTTCGATTTCTTCTTTTCGTCGTTGCTTGTCGAGCGGAAAAAACTGGTTTATGGGTCGAAGACTTCTATGTAGTTTTAGTTTCTCTTTGGAGATTTATAGGATTCCGGAGATTTATTGATATACGTCTTGTTAAAGTAGAGCGAATCGATTATAATCATACGTATTTACCTTTTTTTTACTCTTGCTTGCATCAAAGGAGGCTGAGGTTGTTAGAAGTTACGATACAATCCGAGGCGGCCGGGATTGTCAAAAGTTACAGCGCCATCAAAGGCGGCTTTGTTTGGGATTCTTATAGGGAGTTTTCGAAGTAATGACTAACAAATCGGATGTATGATCATTATTTCAAGTAATGTAATTCATTTTTGCTTTTTGCGCTCATTGCGGTTAATTCGATAGTTAAAGATTTTACCGCAAACAACTAAAACTATGACGAATTTTTTGTATATAATTTGAGTTAATTTCACACTATTTATACTGCCCCTTTAGTATCATTAAGGTTCCATTAGGGATCTAAGGATAGAGCTAGACTATTAATTAAGTCGTGGTATTGAAGGATGCAAATACTCGTTTGAGGCATTGAGAGAGCACAAATTGCTATAATAAACAAATTATAAACTTTGCACAACTACTATATAACCCGATTTGTTGATAGCAAAAATCCACTCTTCCTGGTGGGAGAAGATTATCGATCAGACCCACGAAATAATAGATGATGTAGGTTAAGCAAAATGTTAATTCATTTATCAGTTCTCATCCTATAATCCTAGATTATAGCCCACTTACACAAACCCTCGTCAGATAAATGGTGAACCTTTAATTATAGATTGTAACTATCCTAGGCTAGATGAATTGATTAATAGTTCATCATTTCTGATGAGTATTTTGTGACTTAGCGCTGTGAATATACTCTCAAGCACAAGACCTTCATAAAACCTTCATTTGGACGTGACCTGACCATGTGAAAGTGAAGCAAACGAATCGATTCATCCATAAGAATCACACACAAAGAATTCTTATTTTTTGTTTTGTTTGAACTTTTCTTAAGAAAATTGCGATTAGTTCTATCCCTCTAAATTCAATATGATCTCTTTATTTTCACTATGTTATGAAAGTGCTTCTTTAAACGAAAATAATACACTACATTTATAAATATACGTATTTATCTTCTCTTATCAGAATATCAACGTAACTGACCGCAACCTAACGTGATGATATTATTACTTTTTATCATAACAAACGCAGGTTTGATATTCATTTCATTTCACGTTCAAACACTATAAATTCAGCTTTTTATATTTACAATATCTTACCAAATTATAGGCAAATGAAATAGTAACTTAGGTACCTATAGCAGAAACTCTTATGATAGAATTCAGGAATCTCCATTTTTTTTATTCTAAATACCATTAACCAAAGAGCGGTTTTTATTCGAAATTAACTTACTACTTAATGCTTTATCTACTGTTACATAAAACCCGGCAATGTTAAATTGCATTCCCTGTAATTTAAGTAGACTCCTTTCTATCTTGTGTTCGGTGCAATTGGCGGAATAAATTAGTTTTACGTGTTACGGTTATCCGAATCGATTGTGATTTATGTACGCTAGTGTATTACTGGTAAATTGATATGCTTGATGCAGTTACTGTAACTGTAACTAAACGGTCAATTGCGTATGTTCGCTGTTTTAAGGGTTAATGGAATATGCTGCAAAAATGCATATAACTTGTTGCATAGTTTTTCTTCAGAGTTTCTATTTCGTTTTTATGTTCATTTCTTTGCATTTGGGACTTTAAGTTTAGCCAATATTTTACTCACGCGCGTCTTAACGAAACTTTCAGTCTCGTTTTTCTGTTTGCTCTTTCAATTTCTCATTCCTAAACGCTAATTGCGTTCGACAACACACTCGACTATAGTTCTTTGTGCCGATAGTTTACCCAAAAGAGTGCAAATAACCTCGGAAGATCCTCATTGCAGGATTTACTCGCGCCGTCTATAAAAATATTTGCATAATGACCTGCGCAACATCAACAAAAAACGAACTATAAAATAGAGGAATGTTCAAAAGTGATTCATTCAACCTTGTTTCTATTACATCCACGAACTTAATTTGCAATAACAGCAGCGCTTATTCCTGTTTGCGTACTCTTTATGCGCCGCGAATCGAATCGAATTGAAAAATTTTTTTTTTAGAATACCGAAATAGCCACTTGGCGGTCGTTATGATCGAACACAATTGCCGATATCGCCCTAACGAAGCGCCATTTATTTGATAAATTAACAAATAACACTTTCAATTACTTTAAATAAACAATAAATATCACTTTGCTCGATCCAAACGATTGGGATGTTATTTAAAAGTAATTGTTCCAATTAAATGGAGTTGTAGCCGATGGGCGTTGTTTTTATTTATTCATCTACAATGGACATTGATGTAAAATTTGTATATTGTACCATAAAAAGTACAGATTGGACTTTAATATTATCTACTATTATTGGTAATTTGCATAATAAATTATGGATTTATTGCAATTAGAGACACGTGGGAGGCAATCACACAACATAGTTTTATATTTACTTAATTGAACAAATCAATTATTGAAATAAGAGGGAATTATAATAGATGCTTAGGTAAAGTAATAATACAGTAATCGAATACAGTTATTCATTGCATTGTATCATATTTCATGACTTAAATTAAATAGTAACGAGGAATATATGCAACCCTATATACACCGACGTCATTTGCTTTGTTATCTTTTCAATATGGGAAGCTTCGACGAATATTTTTGATTATCCTAGCTGATGTAAAAGAGGGTACATCAATCATCTCGTGTTTTCCACGAAACGCCGACTCATCTCGCGGCGAATTTTCGAGCGCCTCGGAAAATTTTTCACCTAATAACGACGCCATTTCAAAAGTATACTTGATGGAATTCCGCGAAGCGAGCGAGAGCTCGAGAGAACCGACGACGTTACAACGAAATGGAAGGCCAAAGGCACGCACAAAAGCGAACAGAACAGGCCTAACAACTTTTTAACTGTTTTTATTATTCCAGGCGTATAAGTTTCTCAAAACTAACGCCGTTCTTTTCTTGTTTTTTTTTTGTTCCTTTTTATTTACGTCTACCGGTTCACCGAATGCGACATGTGTTGGCTGTGAATGCAGCTCGAGAGTTCTCATCGTCGCCGTGGAAGGATTAAAGGATCCCACAGACCAAGGCGAAATTTCCGCCGCCGCTGCGATTCCGCAGCGGAACCGCAGCGGTAGTTTCGCTATAGTAGCGAAAACGCAGCGTTCTATTTTCGAAACGCTGCTTGAACTGTTTTTTCCGCTGAATTTCGTACCTATGAAAATGGCAGTTGTCGAAAAATTAATCGAGTTTGTGAAAAAGTATCCAATTATTTACGATTTAAGTCATAAAGACCTATTAAAAATTATTAAAATAAATATCCTACTATTATTATGCTTGCCTATATGTTGCTAATCAACATACTCGTAATAACGTAGTTATTTTTACCTAATTTCTTCCTCTTCAGCTAAACCAAGTAGCAGTAAAACTTCTTCTTCAGACAAACTCATTGAATAAATAATTGTATGAATTGCAAATTATATAATTAATTACACACACGCTCCAATTTGTCACTAAAAATCGCTAACTAACAATCGGAAAATTTCGCAACGCTGGCGAAATTTCCGCCGCGAAAGTTCCGCGGCGGAAAAGTTTCGCGTTGGTGTGTGGGATCCTTTAAGTTGGGAAGTTTACGTGAAGTATAATTCCTCGCACCCAGTTGCACATGGGATGAAATTTATTGCGCTTTTAACTACACCAAGTCGCATTCCTTTTCGGTTTATAAGGGATGCGAATTTTCCGCCGCACAGAACAGGAAAAACCAACAAATCGCGCTCGACATAAACGAGAGAAATATTTCATTTACTTTTTACGTCAGACCAACCCTTTGCTCGCTTCACACGTGCCGCTTATTTATTTATTTCGGCCTTTTAAACACGTGTCGAACAGATTTCTGGGTGCTCGGTTAACGAAAACCAGAAAGAAAATGAATTTTTTACGGCTAAAAGAGCCGTCGCGTCGGGACTTCCGAACTCCGTTGGAAAGATCGAAGAAAGAATCGGAAGTTTCCGGGGGAATTTTCGAAGTTCGCGAAGTTCGTTGAATTATCGAAAAGTTTCTAATTTAATTAAGAAAGCGAAGGCTCTATTCCGAGTTTCGGTCCGAATGTTTTCTGGCTCCCAAGACGGGAAACTTCGGTTTAAAGGTGGTAACTGAGTTTGCATTTCATTATTTATAAGGAGAATTATAATACATAATTAACACTATTAAGAGGGAGTCTAGAAAGGGGTTCATTCTATACATGGTTGTGAAATTTTGTAGATCAAAACTCGCTTCAAAATATCGTTTTTCACAGTATTACATTATTTCCTATAATTAATCCAATTTTTCTTTTTGCAGGTAAGTCTTCAAAAACCTTTAATAACCAAGTAAATCTAGCGAGTATTGCAGGTAAGTATATTACATAAACGCTTTATTATAGTTACATATTAATTCGAAATGCATATGTGAAATATTCGAAACATGTTCCTGGCTTTCCGGCGCGTTTCAATGACGGCAAAACGAGATTTATTGGCGTATTGTTGACGCCCATTACATCTTTCGCAGTCTCTATCTCTCATGTCATCATCCATAAAGTTATATTTTATATCTACATAGTCACCGGGCGAAACTCGAGATCAAAATAGAGCGAAATTATA